AGCTGATTTCCACTGTTGGTCTTGGGGAGAGGAGGAAAGAGAAAAGAAGGTGCAGCCTTATGGTTGGTGTAACACACACACAAAAAAATAAACCCACGTATCTGCAGAACCTTTTTTGCCACTATCAGGGTAGCATCTTCTACAGCAGTTTGCACTCTGCTGTGTATCCACCTTTCTCAACTGCAGATGTTCCTGTTCCTCTTCCTTGCCTCAGCACTAGAACAGTTCAAACAGCTCTGAAGACACATGAACATTTCCATTCAATAGGCTTTTTACAAGTCTCCTCCAAGTCTGCTTTTATTTGCCAAGGAGATTTGCAGTTTTGGTGAGGCTGTGCTTGTCACACTGGGGTTCTAAGCTCCCACTTTGTGCCAATGGCAGTTCTCCGTTGGTGGGAGATTTGAACCCTTTGTATAACTGATTATTAGCTTCCACGTCTGCAGTCGCTGCAGGATCATGTGTGGGGCCATAGTGTTTATAAAATGTTAAATAAACTGTGTATTGAATGGAGTGGTCTAAGTTAGCTAAGCAGCTCAAATATACTTGGAAGAAAGATGACCCTGAAATCATTTCCAAAAGATTCAATGCAAGTTGCTCACTTTGAGTAACAGGAAAATAAAAAGGTCTGTTCTTACATAGACTGGTAGATGAAATCTTCCACCCCTATAAGCATGCACACAGGTGGGGACATTGCTTCCATTCCGAAGCTGCAAATTATGCATATGACTTTCCAAGCTATTGGGATGGGAACTGAGATGGTTTAGGCACTGCTTTCTTAAGAAGTGCTGACCTCCAGGGCATCCAAATGGACTTGGCTAAATTGAGATACTGAAAGGGAGATACAGTGCCAAAATGCTGGGCCTTGGCCTTGCCGAGGGATTCTTAAGGTTGGATGCCTGGCTCTGTGCAAGTACAGAATGGCTCCTGCTGTGGGAGGTGGGAGTGCAGGGGGCTCGGGCAGCAGCTTCGGACTTGTTTCCTCCAAAATCAGCATCCAAAGCTTTGTGGTGAGGATTAGCATTTAATTGTGTATTTGTATATTTGCATGAGCAAAGGTTGGGAACTGTCAGAACCTAAGTAGCTCCTTTTTATTTCTTGTAATCAAAGATAAGATTAAGAAAGAAAGTTCTCAGTGGAGAAACCAATGAACAAAAGCAGCCCCCCCCACCCCCAAGCTCCATAATTCAGTCACAGAAAATGATCTGTTGGTATCAGTGGTTAATTTGAGCTTGCTGGAAGATTTGCTCAAGAATTACTTCTGGCACAGCAGCCTGAGCCCCAGCTGGAAGTTGCCCCTTTCCCAGAGTGTGACTCTGCCATCCCCAAAAACAGCTGCTCCTGCACAACGATTCTCTGCTTTAAAAAGTAATAATAATCTGAATTTGTTCATTTCTATTGAAAAAGTGAAGAGAGGAAATAACTTTTTGCATGCTTCTTCTAGCTGTCAGCTGGTGATTCCAGCTTACCCACATCCTGTAGGTGAAAAAACTTCAGATGTGATTTGACAAAAAAAAAAAAGAATTTCTCAGGTTTAAAACCTTAAGAAAACAAATAATCATTCCCACATGGCCAGTAGAGGTGAAGAATTTTGATTGCAGGGTTTGCCATTGGAAAAGAGCCTGACCCTGCTGGGTATTGAATGACAGCCCAAACACGTCCTTCTTTGTTTTGTGGCTTTGTCCTAATTGGAAATAAACTGTAAAACTGTCAGAGCGTAATTGCTCCATGCTTTACACAGTTCTGTGCTTTAGGAGCAAAGCGAATTAGAAGCAGTTCAGAAAGGGGTGAGATGACTGTGGAGGTTTCCTCCCTGTGTTGCAGCTCTGCAGCACAGCGCTGCTGCTCGTGTTGTCATAGAGCACAGACAGCCTGACGTGGAGCAGCTCTCTGTGCTCTGAGTTGGTGGAAAAAGTGGGGAAAAATATGAAGAAGAAAAAAAAAAAAGGCAATTTGGTTGTGCTGAGGAGCTGTGCATGTGTGCTTTGTGTGCGTACAAGGGAAGGCTTTGGGCCCGTAGCATTGTACATGTTAGCATGATACGCATGGTTCCTAAATCTCTTGCATCCACTTCTGCAGTTGAGATGTTAAGAAGATTTTTTTATTATTATTATTTAAAGAAAAAAAAAAGAAAAAAGAACAGTAGCAAACTCCTGTTGAGAGGCCAAAAACACCCTTTGGGGCGCATCCAGTCGGTGTCACCTGCTCCTGTCCTGCAGGGCAGTGAGGTCTCTCAGCATCGCCGCATCCCAGCACTGTTCTGAAATGCTCGTTGTTCAGTAGGCTGTTGTTTCCCAGTGTGATGTGGTGGCTGTTACCTGATAACGTTGCTGGGGGCTTCATGTTGTGAGAGGTGGTCCATCTCCTTTGATGTATTTGGCTGAAAAATAGTGGTGGTTTGTTTTTTTTTATTATTATTATTTAAATTCCTAGCAACTGTGACTACAGTACGGTGATGAGTAGCACATATAGATGGGGTGGTGATGATGACCTCCTCAAAAATGTCATCTGGACTTTTTAAAAAAAAAAAAAACAAAAAAGAAAAATATTTTTAAAACATTTTAAAACTTTGTGTGCGTGTGTGTGTGCGTGTGTGTGTTCCAAGATGGAATATTTGTATTTGAAAATCCTCCTGGAGTGTAATTTAATCCTATGACCCCCCCAGCCTTTGTGTATATGGTAAATGTTTGTATTTTGCAGTTTCTGTTTTGCTTTTTAGATAAATGAAATGTATATGGATATTTTTAAGTCATCTTTGCTTTTTTAGATGAGTTTGTAATCACCTTATAACAGAAAATAAAAGTTTCCTTTATAAACTAGCTGTGCTCACTGATGTTTTCAATCTCTGAGCACCTCAGCTCTTCCTTTAAGCCCATTATTCTCTGTGTTAATTCACTCAGACAAATGGAGCAGTGTGAAGGTATGGAAATGGTGCCCATTTTTTTTTTTTTGCCCAGTTTTCTTCCTTTTTTGCCCCACTGCTGTGTTCACAGCAGACAGGGTCACAAGCTGAGAGAGCCAGGTGCAGAAAAGCTCCATGAGAAGGGAAAAACAACAAAGAGAATGAATTCATTTTCCAGGTGTATGGGATTTGTCATTTAAAGGGCTCTGATGGCCCCTTCTGTTGGGCAAATGGAAGTTAAATCAGAAATGCTTTTTCCTAAGACATGCGTGGAGAGGGGGGAAGGAAAGAAAAAGTCATTTTGGTTGATGTTTTCGGGAAGTAGAATGGCAAACTGCACAGCATTTGTGGTCAGGATTGCTGCTGATAACCCAACTGGAGCTGAGGGCATGGACCATGTCCAGCAGCCCCCCAGCCAGGCTTCCCTGCTGCATCCTGAAGCTTTTGAAGTTGTTTTGAGACGGGAAATGGCTTGGTTTTGACTTGGTTGCATTACTTTTTGCTGGGTGAGAGTTGAGGCCTTTGTGCCAGCGCACAGCCTGCAATGCCTGGGCTGAGCAGCCCATCACAGGTGCAGACACTGCAACGTGTCTCAGGTACAAAATAATCAGCCGGAAGTCCCACAGCACCACACAGAGCTGCTGCAGGGCTCCGTGCTCCAGCCGTGCGTGGCTGTGACCTGCCCTGGGCTGGATCCCTCGGCCGAGGCCTGCAGGCTGCTGTTAGCAGGCAGCTCCCCGCTCACCCGTGTGTCCCGGCTGCACTGAGCTGCCCTTTTCTCTCTGCGTGAGGCAGAGCCCTGCGGTCACGTTGCATGGCTGGGTGTTCAACCTGACACGGCACCGGTGCCCAGGCTGGCACCGAGCGGCTTTGGCACGGCCCTGGTGCCAGACATGTGAAGGGCTCTGCTTGGCAGCCCGTGCCCCGAAGACAGCCAGAGATGACCGATAAGGTTTGTTTACATGGCAATGATTCCCAACTCTAACCAGAAGTGTTTCCATGCCTGACCTCTGATAATTCCTGTGCTACCCACTTGGTGGTGAAGGGTTGCAAAACACAGCTCACCCTTTGCTTGCCAGTGAGCAGCAGTTCCTGATGGCTCTATCTAGGGAATGTAGAGCCTGCACTGCACGTGCTGGAAGTGTAGCAGTGTCCCTTAATCCCTCTGTAAGCAAAGGGAGGCAAAGCCTCCCTGTAAGGACATGAGCTCTCCCAGTGGCTTTGTGGCAGTCGTCCTTTAGACACCTGGCTCCAGAGGCTGGATAATTTGGCTCCTGCAGTGCAGCATCGTACTGGCTCAGGTTGTGCTGGGGAGATTCAGGTTGCACATAAGGGAAAATCTTCCTCTCTATAAGAGTAGTCAGGCACTGGAATGGGCTGCCCAGGGAGGTGGTGGAGTCATGGAGCCTGGAGGTGCTCAAGAAACATTTACCTGTTGTACTGAGGGACATGGTTTAGTGGGTGATATTGGTGATAGGTGGATGGTTGGACTGGATGATCTTACAGGTCTTTTCCAACCTTGGTGATTGATTCTATGACTCATGGATCTTGGGAATCCAAGTGCCCATCAGGTCACCTCCTTATCCCATCCCTGGGGGTTACCCACAGCTTTGCAAACACTGCCGCTGCCACTTCACAGCCACCGTGTGCATTGCCACACAAATATTTTGTCATGAAGTAGCCAAGGTTTGAACCACGGAGGCTTCCAGTGTGGCCAAGTTGATGTAAGCAATATTATAACCATGTAAATATCTCCACAGCCATGGAGCATGGGCACCACAAGCATCTGGATGCAGAGAGCTGCAGAAAAAGTCCCCTTATCTGCAGCGAGGGAAGCAAGTGGTCACAAATCCCGCTGCTGGGCAGCAGCGAGTGCCAATCCAAAGCCTGCACTGGGAGCCCTATGAGTAGTGGTCCCACCAACCCCATCTTTTGCTCATTGCCCTCACGTGGGTCCTCTGGGAAAACAGGGCTGGATGAAGAATACTGCCCTACTCCTGTCCTCTAGCAGAATGAAACAGACCCACAACACGTGCATTTCATTTGTTTTTATTTAATTAAAAAAAAAAGTCATTGCAATGCCATTTAAATACAGAGATTTACAAATAGGTCCAAAACAGGACTAAAATATTTTTTGAAATGCTGTACTTTTAAATATTGTGCTTTCATAGATACATAAGAAAATCAGCATATAAAAATACTTTACAAGGAATACACTCTAATATATGGATAAAAATACACATTTAAGTAATGCATTTCATCTTCATATCATTCAAAATGCATAGGAAGGGATACAAGGACCAAGTTTTTCTTTTTTTTTTTTTTTTTAAAGCCTTTAATAAAAGTCTTCATTAAAAACCTATGAGAAGCCCCAGCGAGCTTCCACTGTTCAGAATATTGCATATAAAAACACTTTCGGCTGCACTGTCAATGCTCCACAGTATCAATTATGGCACGTCATCTAGTTGTGGCAGCAATGGTATGGGATATTGCATACTTGAAGAGAAAATGGCTACACTGACAAGTAGCTGGATGGGGCTGGACATGCCTCAAAGAAACACCCCAATATGCTGGGCTATTGTGGAAGGACAGAGCTGCAAAGTAGAGATGGATGCAGAAGTGAGTCCTGGCTCAGCAAAATGAGGAACGTGCTGCACACAGCTCTATGGCACCCAAACACAGCCCTGGTATGGGGTGGTGATGGAGGAAATGAAATGGTGAGTGGGGTAATGGGGGCAGTGGTCACCAGGGCTGCTGCCCACAACCATGCAAGTTCTTCACCTCCACCATACCACCACATGTGAGCCTTCATGGGCAAAGCAATGCCAGGGTGCCAGGATGCTAATGTCATCATAAAGTGCTAAGACATGGAACACAGAGCGCAGCTCACATCTGCCACAGGAGGAACTCACAGCAAAGAGAGGAGGAGGAGCCCACAGCCAGATGGACTGTGTCTCCTGCAGACTGAAGCCGATGCAAATACCTCAGCTGCCTCCTCCCCATGGCTTGGGGGCACACTGGGGACAATACACACATTGGGGACAATAGGGGCACCATGCTTGGAGGCCATGGGAAGGCCAGCAACAGGCAAGGGGTTAACAAAACAAAGCCACCTAGGCACTGCTAGTGCAGGTGGGGGCAGGGGATGTACAATCTCCATCTACCGTGGGACTTCTCACGTCACTGCCTGGCAGGGGACAAGAAGGTTCTATTAATTCAAAACATCAACTGCCCTAGATAACAACACTTCTGCTTTTTACTTGCATTATCTCCATAACCATCTGAAAAACAGTAGCAGGCATTTAGGGTCTTCAGCCTTGGGCACAGCCTTCTGCTCTAATAGCCGCTGTGTGGCGCGGACAACTGCACTGCTGATGGTGAGACGAGGTGCCCTGGGCAGTGGGCAGTGGGCACTGGGCTGAGCCAGCCCTGCTGGGGCAGCATGGAAGGGGCCAGCGTGAGGCAGCTGCAAACATAAATTTCTGAACAAGAACTGCACCTAGACACCATCAAGTGCATTTTGAATTGTCTTTAAACAGGGCCCTCCATAGCCTGATAGCAGGAGAGAAAGGGACTGCAGGAATCAATGTATGGGGAGCGTTTGGAGGGTGGAGCTGGGTACAACAGAAAAAGAATGGCATTTCAATCTTGCTGTATGTGATAAACAGAGCAAACAAGGATAAAAATAGCACCATGTGTGTCTGTAGGATGGCCAAGGCCTGAAGAGCGAGGAGGTGCTGGGGCAGGAGACCCCGTGCACCACAATGCACTGGGGATGCAACAGCTCACCCCAGCCCCAGAAACAAACATCCAGCTTCAACCTTCCCAGCAGCGTTGGGTGGCCTACAGGTGACAGCTCACTGAAGACCCACCTCCCCCCTTGGAGCTGATGATACACACAGCATTTACAAATACCAGTGCAAAAAACAGGAAGAACACCCCAAATACCAGAATGGCTCAGCAGAGGCCCCAGGTACCATCCGCTGTGGCTGCTCACAGTGTCTGGACGCTCGCCTTGACCTCGGTGTGGGCTGCCTGTGCCAGCAGCTCCCCATTCCCCTCCAGAGGAGCGTTGGCAGCCAAAGGGTTGCGGCTGATCACCAGGTCCAGCTTGTCTCCAGCCTCTGAGATCAAAGGGACAGTCAGACAGCAGTCAAAGTCTCTCGTTCGGACGCGATTTACCTGTCGGGATGGATTTAGGATGTGCCATAGGGAGGAACAACAGAAACAGCAGGTTTGTTAGACAGAAAACACAAGGCTGGTGCTAAACCCACACCTGTGAAAACACACAGCGCCTGGGGGACTGTGCCTGAGGGGTCACAGCAGAGCAGAGCACTGCCTCCCTCCCCCCCTCTCCCCCTCTTTGAGCTGGGCACATCCTGCCTTAGCAGAGGAATGGCTCTGTAACTGGTAGAGGAAAGGGGAAAAAGCCTGGATCAGGCAGAAATCCTCACCCCTGGAGTCTAAGATAGTATTACACCTTTTGAACTCTACAGGACTCAAAAATCAATTCTCTAGGTCAAGTCTCTGGGATAAAGGTTGCTATATAATTTTTTGTCATCATGGCTTTCACTGGCCTTAAATCTGTGGTGTAGGGCATTCAGCACCTAGAAAACAAACACAGCACAGACCGTGAGGCTTCAAATGACCACTTCCAGCTCAGCAGGCAGTAAATCAGGACTATACTGAACAGTTCCTGCTTCTCCTCACACCGTTTACATCTTTCATTTTGGAGGAGTCCAGATGCATTTCACATGGGCTCAAGATGGTGGCTGTGGAGGCTGCAAATCCTCTCTGCAGGATTCAGCAGTGTAAGCACTTTTCCTGCTCATTTGAGCATCTTGAAGCATGTTTCTAGGCTGGGTCACTTGCAGGAACCATCCTGGCTCTCCTGCCTACAGCTCCCAGAGCACATGGGCTCGGTGCCACGACAGCCCCAGGATGGAGAGGGCTGGCAAATAGCATGGGGAGGGGAAGCAGGGAGGGGAGAAAGGAATTTCCCACCCACCTTTGTAGTGAACATAACCCCTCAGGCCAGGCGTTGATTCCTTCTCAGGATAAGGGCTGGATAAGTCCATGCAACCCTTGCATCCAAAGCCCTTTCTCAGGATTAATGCATGCCCATAGAGCTGGGCAATGTAATGGCAGCAGTGCCACCCTGCCCTAGCTGGCAGCTACACAGCCGAACTCAGTACTGCTCTTTATAGATGAGTGACCAGGGACAATTTCCAGGTTGCACACAGACAAGAAATAAGCCATGAGCTTGCTTTGCCTTTGTTCCATGCTGGCTGGGCAGCTCCAGTGCAGAAAAGCCATTAGTGCAATGCTGTGCTCTGGGCAATCCATCAGTCAAGAGGCAGAGGGACTTCCTTTGCAGGGACAACATGTTTTGTGGCCTTCAGCATTGGAACTTGCTTGCAGACACATCATCATGCCCGTAACCAGCAGCATTGTGAAGCATCCTCAGCAGTGCATCGCCGTGCTTCTTGCTGGGATTTGTCTGTACCAGCTCTGCAATCCCTCATCCATCACTGCTGCACACGTCAACCCAATGGCAATTGCCTTGTCCTCTTGTAGGTAGAAGCTGTGTGGCACAGCATGTAGGAAGGAGGGGGTCTCAGAAGTCTCTGCTCCGCTGTGTCTCAGGCACACCTCCCAGAGCACTTGGCATTTGCAAAGACCAACACTTCCAACATTCAACAGAAAGGCAGCCTGCAGCCTAATTAGCTTCTTGTTCATTCCTGCACCATCTTTTATTTGAATCCGAGAAGGAATAACTGTATAGCAGCCAACTGGCTAGAGATCATAACAAGCTTAAACAAGGTTCCCCACAGCGCTGCCAGCTCTCCGGTTACCTGATGTACATAATATATTGGCTCTGATCCTGCTGCTAACAGCCACCGCCTAGAAAGTAGCAAAACTAAACATCTGAGTGCTTCCAAATACGGTCACAATATCTGCATTTCCAAATGGTGGCAATTTTTCCATCAAAGCCACGCTTTTCTCAGTCGCTATTTGAGTCGCTCCAAAGCAAAACTTGTTATTTTTCGTCCATATAAAGTTCCTTTCCAAACTCCAGAATGCACCGTGCTCTCATTGTCCCTCTGGCAGGCAGATACACCCAAGTTACTTTTATTTGATCAGAGCTTTTATTCTGTTTCTGCGTCAGTTGCTTCAGATTTAGTGTCTTTCGGAGGAAAATATCCATGAAAAACACTTTGCTTGAGAGATGGTTGTTTCTTAGAAAACTTTTAGATGTCAAAGGCATGCACAGAACTTCATGAACACTGCTTAACTCCACAGGGGATTCACAAGAACACAGATTGGTCCACACGGTCTAGTTTGTCCAAAAATCACCCTCTTTCAGGATAGGAAAAGGATTGAGGACGAAGAGGGAAAGCGACACGGCTTTTTGGTTGTTTTGGTTGTGAGCTGCCCAAGCTCAGAAAGACAGCGCTGGGACAGCTCTGTGTGGAGGTGCTCCCTGGGCTGGGTGTCAGCTAGGGGAACCAGCTCTGCTACCTAGAGATTTCTTATACAAAACACAGGTCTCATTGAGAGTTAGGTGGAAGGTGCTCACCTAGTTGGCTAACTATTACCTTTCATTAAAGTTAGTGCTGTCATGGATGGGTCTCACTTCTCTCTTCCTCTCAGCCACTCATTCACTCCGTCCCAGCCTCCAGAACTGCATTTTGCATTTATTACCTGAAGCACTCTGTCATATGGCTTGAGGCCACACTGATCTGCTGGCCCATCCGGACGGACCATATTTACATAGACACCTTTTTCTAGCAGGCCATCTGACACACTGAATCCAAAGTCTTCGCTCTCTGGGTCTTTGCGAAGTGTCATCTGGAGGGGCAGAAGCAGAAAGCACACGTTGGAATGCTGCAGAGGCAGCACAAATATCTATACTGCTTAATACTATTCATTAGTTCTGGCTTACTGAGGACAAGAGCCAGGTAATCTAACTCTCTTCCCTACATCATAATCACACTTCGGTCTCTAAAGGAGATGCGTGCTGCTAGAAGTGTATCTTGGCACAAGGCAATATTGGGAGCCAGTGGAGGACAAGCAATATCAGGAACAGCTGTTTCCCTCCACCACAGTCCCCCCTTTCCTTCTGTGAACTGGGAGTGCATCTCTACCATCCGGCTCTGACTGCATCAGGGTGCTGGTGGTTGGGGAAGCCCCACGGCTGCGTGATCCATGGGCAGGACAGTGCCCAGGGTGATGCCCCAACCTCACCTCCAAACACCTCCAGCAACAGATACTCCAGCAGAAAGAACTCTCACCCTATAACACACCTACTTACTCAGCTCTCTTCCATCAGGAAAGAAGGAGTTTTATTTAAAGTTGCATTTGCCATACCCTGAAGGACAAAAGCAGATCAAACAAGAAGAAGTTGTTTTTCCCAACTGCCCTAACTGCATGTTTCACTGTAAAATCACTAGGAAAGAAAAAGGAATTGGTTTTTGAAACCTCTCCAGCTCCCTTCCCTGCCTGCATTCTGCATCAACAGCTTCTACAGTTAATTACTCCTCCTAATTACCATTGCCTTGCACCACACTTAAACTGGCTGCAATCACCCGCATACTGAATTCAAACAAGTATCCTGTCACTCAGGTCCTACCATTTGCACCCCATTTAGGAGAGGCTGGGAATGAAGAGGAAGGGGACAGAAAATAAATGATTTCTCAGAAAAAAAGCAGCTTACTGAATGGTGTGTGCCACTGGCAAAGGGTCAACAGGGAGCATTTTCTATGGGGCTGCAACACATCCATCAGCTTTTCCCATCGCGGTACCACTGTGCCAAAGCAAACCAACCCTTGGCAACACAGACCTTGTGAAACTCGAGGGGGGTAGGGGACATGATCTCCTGCATCTCCTTCTCCATCTTCTTCATGTCCAGGTTCCTCTCATTCTTCTTGGCAGGGGAGCTGCTGCTCTCAGTCTGCCCGTTGTCACAGCCGGAGTTTGCCTTCCTCAATGGGCTCAGCCCCGATGGGTTGACAGAGTCCAGGAGCAGCTTGCTGCCCTCCAGGCCCAGGTTGTGCACGCTCCCTGTCATGATGGATGCCTGCGGGACAAGGGCACAGAGTCACTCCGCTGAGGTGGCAGCAGACAGACAACGCAGGAATAAAAACGGCAGAGAGGACAACAAGGGAATCGAGGCAAATGAACGTGCTGACCTCAGGGGAGCTCCCACAGGAACTGGTGGATCTCCAGCCTACCTCTGCGGGCTGCAGCCCGTCATCAGCACAGCGCAGTGCTGGCAACGGCCCCAGGAAGGCAGCACCACTGCTGAGGCCAAGTCAGCAGAGAAATTATCATTTTATCTGTCAGTAAATGGGAGCCTTCAATGAGTCAAACTGAGTTAAAAAAATATGAAATTAAGTAGTTTTTAAGCCTGGTCATCCTTGATAGCATCCATTAAACAATGCCCCTAAGTAGATTCTACTCCATTTGGCAATGCGTTTCGCTAATGAAATTACATTGATCAAAGCTAATGAAGGAGTAAAGAATCCAGTCTGTGGAACCTCAACCGGTTCCAGAGTCTATTTAAACAGCATAATGAAAACCATCATTATGAAGTTCAGGCTCCAAACATCTGCAGTCCTATTAAATGTCAAAAGGTAGCGGAAAGAAAAGGAAAGGCAGGGAGCAAACAGCAAAATTCAGCAGTGTTAACCATGGCAAGTCAAAGAGCAATTTCTCCTGCACACAGGGGAAATATCACCTGACTAAATATCTAATCAAGGCCTTTGGTTCTTTTCTGCAAGCTGAAACAATACAGGTAAATAAAGCAGATTCTGGTGGCAGCGATGAAAATGCCAGCACTATCTATGTTATCCCAAATGGAGATGGAAAAATATGGAAATCCTTTGAGTGTGTAGCAGGTTTTTGAGTGTTGTCCAAACTCAAGGTGATTAATTTTTGAGAGAAGACTCCTCAAATATGCTAGGAAACTCACAAGCTAAAAAGATTTCCATATTTTATCCATCACTTTAGGATAAGATGGGTAGTGCTAGAGGTTGTCTGCATTTTGCAAAATTTCTTTAAATTTTTTTAAAAGCATTGCTCCAAATGTATCAGCTCCAAAGCCTTTAAGCAGCATGACTCAAAAGCCCACACATCCCTGCAAAAGGAATGGACAGAAAGATTATTTTCTCTGTCGTGGCATTGCATAGTAGCCAAACAAACCCCTTCTTTTGCATTAAGATCCGCCATTATGCAGAAGAAAATCATCTATGCATCATTTCAGAGTGCTACTTTTTCTTAAATAGCCACTGACAGTAATGGGAATTTTACACCCTCTGTTGAGGAAACAAGCACATTGGCCAGACATGCCCAGAAAACCATTTCCAACCCAGATCCAGTGTTACTGGACTGGAGTAGTGTGACAGCTGGCATCTCTCCAGGCACCTTATCAGGCACTGCATGGGGATGCCATTCCTGCACAATCTGCTGGAACAGCAAACCCATTTCCAGACTCCTCCCTTCTCCTCCAACCCTGGGGTACTACTTTAGCTACAGCCCCATCTTTGGGGCAATGGAGGACCCAGCCCCACAAGCCTTCCCCAGACCTCCCGCATGCAGGAGGCATAAGGAGGGAGCAGCTCGTGGGGCTGCACTGCTGGGTTCCATCCCACCGGGCAGATTTGCTGCCCACTGCTCTGCAGTCTCAAGGGAGGCCTTTATTTGCATCCCACAGCTTAGTAATGCAGGCTCCCCATCCAATAACCGGACACAATAACACGACCTCCAAAGCATTTTGGATAAAGAAAAGAGAAAGTGGTTCGTGAAGAGAGGAAACACCTTTATTTCTGCAGGAAGCAATTACTTTCTCAGATTTTTCCAGGGGAAGGCTGGCTGAAAAGCTTCCAATTACCCATTTTACTGAAACAGTTTCCGGCTAAGTGACAGCTGAATGCAAGATGCATGTTGTTCCTGTCTATACTTAAAGCAAGTTTTGGTCCCAATGGGTTTTTGGGAGGCTCATTTTGCTTGGCCTCTAAGTGCTTGTGACAGACAGTATCTCCCCATGTAAGGACTTATCATTTGATAGGGGAGCTTTGCCAACAGTCAGGTGAAGACTGTTGGCCAGCAGCAATTTGCAAAAAGAGCACAAAGTTACTGGTTGGTAACTTCTCGGCTCTGGGGGAAAGAACGTGCAAGCAACTGCCTGATGAGGTGTGGGTACCCATCGCACATCCCTGAAATGCCACAACTCGAACCCTTCTTCACACCACTAACAGCACAGCGGTGCTGTGAGCAATCAACACATCTGGGGAAACTGCTTAGCATTCAAGTCAAGAGCAGAACAGATCAGCAGCAAATTCCGAAAGTGATTTACCTCAATCTCCCTCAAAAGTTCAGACTGGCCGCATGTTTCCAAATCCTCCAAAGCTTCTCCAAAAACACGCCAAAAACTATCCTCGTGAGTGGTCTCAAGGCCATTTTGGCGGTTGGGGTATCTGTTGTAACGTAGGAACCAAACATTGTCAGCACTCTTCTGCAGCAGGATGAAAGCCGCGAGGCTACAGCAAGTGTCTCACCAGTAAAAGCAGAGACTTGAAGAGTCTTCATATACAAAAGCAAACAATATGAACTTTTCAGACAAGAGTCCGAACACGAGACCTCCATGCATTTACTAACGGGGCAAGCGTCCTTCAAAGGAAGAATTAAGTTGGTGTAGTGATGTCAAAGTTCAAAGGGTAAATTAAAAAGTGCCTGTAGGAAGATTGTAGGTTTAGGAAGACGTTTTGGTGAAATAGAGAAGTGAAAGAAAAAAGGATGCATTATGGGTAAACCAGGAGCCTCAGAGACTGTTAGTACAAAGGCTGATGGGATAGAGCTCAGATCTGAGACACAGAACACCTGAGAAGAGAGAGAAAAACACAGAGGGTAACAGACATGGTGAGAAAATGGTAAATACATTAGGTCTCTGTGAGAGTAAATAATGCAAAGATGTATATAAAAATGATTGCCCTAGGCTGGACAAGTAAACGTACACTACAGCCAGCAATATCAACAGTGTCAGCATATAACCCATACAAACCAAGTTGCATTTTGCTTTCGGATGGCCAAGGAAGTAAGTTTTTATATTCAAGAAGTCTCTCTGTGCTCCATTTACAGTATGTCGTTTACATTGTGTACAGACTCTCTCCAGTTCTCTGGCTACAGAGAAAGAGAGTATTGACAACCTCTCTCTAGTCTGTGCAAACATGGTAATGTGAATAACATCATCAGCACTCATTTTAACAGAAGCCTCTTGAAGGCAACTTTCAGTGGTGCTACAACAAGGTCACAATATGCTCACTATGTGTCATGGGAGGAGGGTAACATTAAAGCAGCCTTAATGCATCTTCCATGCATCCATTTAGGAGCTGCACAAAGATCCACCTGTGCAACATCTGGCAGCAGCCTGCACGGCTCAGTGGTCATCAGTGACACAGGTAGGAAGGGACACTTCTCCACCAGAGCCACTTAGCAAAGCCAAAACATTGTACCTGAGTACAAATCAAAGAGAGGTTGGCTTCAGTTATACGTAATAACTCTTTGGGCTATCAATAGCACACCTTTTCCAGATCTGTATTAATAGCAAAGTCTTTAACATGTGCTTTGCTTTTCATCCGTTGGTTTAAAGGAGAGCCTGTAGCAGGCATAACCTCGAACATGCACACTTTTGGTCCTTGTGGGATCGTGGCCTGCCTGCAGAGCGGTATCTGACATGGCTTAATCCAAATTATTTTAAATTCACCCCCTACCTCTTTTAAAGCAGCAGCTTTTAACACCAGGCAGAGAGGTCAAAAAAACACCCAGCAAGACTTCATAAAAACAAACCAAAATTCCCCCCAGAGAAGGAGTTTTCAATTCTTTTCCCTTACTCATTTCCTTCCTCTGCTCCAGGTTTCCTAAGAGGCAAAAGTCCCTTCCAGTTACGGATTTCTTGCCTCTCAGATACAACAAACACCCAGGACTTGGATGAATCAGCCCTCACACCACTGGGTCAGCAGGTTTTTCCAGGCTAAGGGCAGCCAGGGTTAGAGAGGTTTTGTTTTTCTCCCTTACGAAAAGGGCTCGGCAGCACGAACTGTTTCACTTGCACTTTGACATCAGGGCTCAGAGCCCTCTTTAGGGACACACAGGGTTTCGAGGGCTCAGATTTGCTAACTTCAGCTGCCAGTGGCCTCGCCGGGAAGGCCACGAGAGAGCAGCGACCTCTGTGAGCCGGCTCTCGCTGAGAGGCAAAACAAGAACAAAGTCTCAGCCACTGCCAGCCTTCCTGCCAGCTTGATCATCTTTAAATAGGTGGAAATGGCCATGAGATGTTCTAAGGGTTTTGTCTGGACAAACAAAAATTAAGGGAAAATAATTACAAAAGAAAAGAACTGACAGCAACAACACGACACACACAACTATGGGGACTCTGAAGGATGTGAAGGGGAGGGTTAAGTTACGGGGCAACGGGGCTTTTCTGCTGTGCATGATTCAGAGAGGGGCTGGGGCAGATTCAGCAGGATTTTCACCCCAAAAGAGGCAGCACCTGCCATCTGCTCTGTGTGCCTGGGAGTTGTTGTGGGATTTTTCTTCCACTCTGGCTGAGCTGGGGGGATTAACTCGGCTATGTTCATGCAGCGTGGTTTTGTCTGTGTGTTGGAAGGGCCAAAGTGTGGTGGAGAGAGACATCTAGCCACACCTTTAGGACATTTTATCTCAGATATACTACCTCACACTAGTCCTCCAAGAGCTTTTTTTGGCCTTTTTGGCTTTGTGGCATCAAAAAAGCTTGTGTTGAGAAGCTGCATCCTCATTCAAAAGTCTCTCGCCAACACAAGAGGGAACAGCCCTGGCTGTGCCCATTTGTAACACCTGAGCTAAGAAAGTACTGCAGCCTCTGGTATGAGATGTGCTAAGAACCTGTGGTCCTTGCAGCTGAGACTGTCCTAATTCCAGACATGTGTCACCAGCCCATGGCAGAGATGCCACAGAGCATCTCTGTGGAGGTTGTTTGACAGAGCAGATCACTACTCCACACCCACCCCACAGATGCCTGATGCCACGATGGGGCACTGCTGACCTCTGGCTAACCCACTCCATCACAATCAGTGCCCTCTCATCCCCACATCTGCAGAAGGGCCTCCCTACCTCCTCCCACCCCTCCGCACCTGCTGGGCTTGTCCCAGTCATCTTCACTGAAGCTCCCATCCATGAAGGGGTAGCTTTTCCTGGGGTCCGCAGGAGGGGTGCTGCTCTTTTGCCTGCTGTGTCTCCATTCATGTGGATGAAGGGCAATGCCTGCAGCCTGAGGTATGTACGTACCTAGGCAAGGCAAGAGGCAGGGGAAAAAAGGGGTAACATCTGGTTAGAAAACCCAAAAGGAGTAAATGCCAAGAGAGCTTCCATCCCCAAACCGCAAACTTGAAGCAATTTAGGTTACATACTGCTTTCATTTCAGTCTTTCAAAAGGACATATTCTTCCCATATCTTCTTACTCTAACCAAAGCAACTTCTCAGGATCAAATGGGTCCATTAAGAAGAAACTGGACAAGTTTAGCTAAGTTTGCCCCCAGGGACTTTCCCATACTGTGGGATGTCTTGTTCCAGAGATGTAAAACCAACCCTACCAAATCACAAGATCTCCAGGTCTCACGAGGAGCTGTCTGGACAGAAACCCTTCAAAACAGAGCATTCCTCAGCAATGTCGGTGCCAGCTGCCATGGAAATAAATCTCCCAAGTCCCCTGTCCACCTCCTCCTGCCCACTGAACGCTTCAGAGAAATCCCCACAGCCTTTCCAAGAAACATCGTTCACTTCCATCGTCCCTGTGCCAAGCGAACAGGAAGAGGTAACAGAGAAACACATAATTAAGGGAGACTTGACCTCCCGCATGGCTAAGAGCATGGAAATACCCAAAGACATTGCCAGAACTTCCTTTCAAAATGCCAAAGCCTGTTATTTCATTTAGCTGAGAGTTTCCTCTGTGTGTTTTTAAAGGTTAAACTTCTCTGGAGAGAGCAAAGTGTTCGCCAAGTTTTATACCAGGCAGGAGCATTTGCTGCTTGCTATAGCACAGGAACAAGGTCCCTGGGTGCAGGACCCTGCAGCAGACTGGGCACGGAGATGTATGCACAGAGGTGGCCCTTGGGTGCCAGCACTTTCACCTCCTCCTTAAGGAGACAAGGCCTGGATCCCTGGAATTCAGAGCCACCTGGTGGCACGTTCCTGCCAAGCCCAGCACAACTCCCTGCTCAACCTGAGCAGCGTTTTGCGGAGGTGCTTTAGGGTTTGTTTTCCTTCAACACAGGCTAATACTAGCTTACATCACTAAATCTGAACTGGATTGTTCTCTAGCGCATTCCTCCAAGTGAAAATTTATTCCCATGATGGAGCATCCTCCATCCCAATTGCATATGTCTGCCAGAAACCACAGCTGAATAGATCTGGCTTCCAAGACATCCGATCACTCACCGGGGAGTCAGAGATGCTGTCTCATAGTATTACCTTAATTATTTTATTAAGTGAGTGCTTCTAGTCACAAGACATTCTTGTGGATTTTAAGACATCCTGTAGAGGATTAATACAATCTACATGGCCTCTCTGGGGAACTAAAAGTGAGCTACAGGCCAAATACTTTGTAAGACATATGGACAGTGAATACTTATCTGATTATGTGAATTGTAAAATGTTTCAATGGCTTTGAAACTGCTGTGAATGGTATGATGCTATCTATGTAAGCCAGAAGAAACAATGCCAATAAAAACCTAAAATGGATGTATCAACTCAGAGTACCACATGAATGCATTTTAAAATACATTTTGTTCCTTGCTGAAAGGGAGAAGCTGTGCTAGCACAGTCAGACCACAGCCTTTGGCTTACATTCAGTCTCCAGGCAGACTTGGAAGCTCTATCTGTCTTTGCCTTGGCCCACAGACCCGTGAGAAAAGTCATCTTACCTTGGCTTCCATACCCAGCATCAATGCCGGAGCCATCCCAGGACTCCATAGCACTGTCTACACTAGGAATAGTGGTAGAGTACATCTCAGACAGCTTGCTTGTTTTCTGGGAGTCCGTCAGTTCGTCTTCGGGGTCACTCGCTTCATTTATACTCCCAGACTTCTTGGGATAGGATTCTGAAACCAGAATAAGACACTTTAGAAGGCACAAGAACAAGACTCAGGGAAAGCCTTATGTTGCTGTGGGAGCAAGCTCAGGTACTCCAAGGCTCTTGAAGAACCTCTTCAGCTCTTCAAAGGTAACTGAGAAAGGCCTGTGCCAAACTTTCTATTCAAAGCAGTTTCCATTTTTCAAAGTTTCAGTGAGATTTCCACAACAACACAACTTGGTACCAAACTATGGAGCTGAATTTTTAACCCCTCATCAAAGACTGAACAATTTTGTACCAATTCAGGGCTGATCACCATCCAAAGAGCCTCCCACACAATCTCAAGATAACAGTGGAATTCCTGGGCCTTGTACTTTGAGACTGAATTTTCCTCTGATTACTGATGAGAAAATGGAAAGCTGAATGGCGATGATGAAGCTCTTCCCTTTCATTATTTTAGTAATAACAGGCCCTTATTATCACTAGACCAAGTTCCCTTCCAGGTAAAAGCTGTACGGGGAATGGTTTCTCAGCACAAGCATTCTTGTACTGAACATTATAAAGTCCTCATTGATTAAATATCCTGTCAGCTATCCACACCCTGGATCTCCAACTCATACAACTTAGCTGGGATAAAAATGCTCACTGATAGCCTGCATTTGTCAATGAGGACAGATTATTTTACCACTATTCTAAAAGTCCCTATTTTCCAACCATTCAGAAGATTGCTCATCATGATTAACTGGCAATTACCTTGAAATTTCAATTACACCTGCTTCAATTCTCAGAACGATTAACGAGTCTCCAACTGGCACTTGCCTGTCAATTAATTCAGCAAGTGACTGTGACAGTTCTAAGTGTCAGAAGTGGAAAAAAGAGTATTTCATAGCAAGCATCGAGACACCTGGCTTCAGGGAATGAGATGGGGTTTCTTGAAAAGACCCTTCTGTGTGTAGGGTCTCTTGCAGACTCCCACCCCAAAGCAGGCTCCCCCAACTCACTCTCCATCTGTTTCTTGATCTTCAGCGTTACTGTCTCCCCTGCCATCTGCAGCAGGTGGATTGCTTCACTCAGTGGCTTGCCCTTGAGGCTCACATTATTGATTGCAAGTATTCGGTCACCGATGTGGATGGCTCCGGTTCTGGAGAGGAGAGGTGCTGTTAGGGACTTCATAGAGGCAATCCTCCTCAGGCCATTAAGCTGCTGCTTCAAGCAATAGCAAATTAACTCACAACACTTTAAACATGTCTAGGTTTCCTCTTGGCATGCTGTATAATCCTGTTCATCAACACTACCGAGAATTTGGCTTACACCAGCTTTTGCCTGTATGTACATACATACAGGTACATGAACGTATGCCCACTTCAGTTTCTAGGACTCTTGGGAGCTGGACATCAAACCAGACTACATTTTAAACTCTTTAAAGTCATGGTGGGGGTGTACATGCATTGCCAGTGGAGCAGTGTCTACAGGTGGAACTGATGAGCAGGTTTCACAGGATGGACAGAAGACAAAGCTAAACTAACAAACCAACAAAAGACCCAGCTTAACGCACACACATTGTGTGGGCATAGATGAGCTGAGCAAGTTGCAAATCAGTTTATGATATCTTTTAAGTTCCCTCCAATGCTCCCTAATGCTGGCACACAAAAGCAGCAATCCTTTCCTCCAGCACTGCTGCGATGTTCAGCTATCAGAGACCTTGCGTGATCAAGCCAGGAGATGCAAATCTGGACAGTCATATCTTTTTGCCCACGGCAACGTGCTTCTTTCCAAGGCTGTATCCAGTCCAAATTGGACTGCTGCTCCTGCAGAAGTGGGATCTCATACACTGTCAAGACAGCAGGCAAAACAACTCCTTGTGTTTCCCCTAACATGCAACTTCAGAGGCATGCTGCTGCAAAATATCTACTACAAAACATCTTGGATGTGGTTTAGTGGGGAATATTGATGGTAGGTGGACTAGATGATCTTTTCAAATCTTAATCATTCCATGCTCGTATGATTTCACAGCACATAAATTAAACCAGGAAACCACACAGCAACCGGGCAGGAGTGCTTGCTCTGCTGCTGCTGAGATATTGAGATTGTCAAAATGGTCCTGCACAGCCACTAGATGTCCGTATTGTCCCATCCTAATCAGCCCAAAAAAGCCCTCGGGGAAAACTAAAGTACTCCAAGTATAGATCACACTGCAAACGGAGTATTTGTAGTTTCACCTACATAGTCAAAACCAAACCAAGCTGAACTGCTAGCACTTTAATGCGACCCTTCCTGGCTGCAATGCCTTTGATTTGAGCCTCTGCCAGAGCGCTGAGCCAGGGCTGATCTCTCATGAACACTTCTCCCCACTGCCAGCCCCTGGACGCCACCACTGCTCTGCAGGAGAACACAGAAAATATCATAGAGATGGGGAAAAAAGTAAATCAATCCCCTCCACTGTCCACTGCATGCAAGTGGCAGGGATTTACCTTGGGCATGGGCAGAGTCCACACCCCTTCTGAACACATGCTGGTGCTGAGTACTCCTGGACAAAACCCTCCTGCAGCCTCCTCCTATGTCTGTTTGACCAGGTGGCGTCAGAGAAGACTGCCAAGCTCTTGAAATCCTTCAGAATATCAGTGACTACTGAAAAATCACTTTTGGAGAACTATTAAACCTCAACCAGAAATGAACAGTATTGGTCCCTTCCCCACATAGGACAAAAACAAGTCCCATGGCCAAGGGCAAAGTCACCCACAGGCACTGAAGGAAGGGAAACAGAGAAGCCATCACTTGACATCAACCCAACAGCCTGTGCTGCCTTTCTAGGTTTCTATAGGATGGGACACGTACAAGGAGAAAAATGCTGAAGGTCAAGATAAAATCCAAGTCATCTGCATCTGAAGCCTTTTCAGCTAAGACAGCTTGTCACTGCTGTGACAGACATGTGACAGGTCCTAGAGGACACCCTGCCTTCCCCAGCACAGAGCTGCAGTGCAGATTATCCCCCTGTGCCTCCCCAGGAATGCAGCCCCATCCCCATTACCAGATGCCAGGATCCGGCGCACCCCACACCAGTGCTGCTGAAACACATGTTGTACTCCAGAAAAAGGCAGGCACAGCTTTAACTCCTGTCCTTCAGAAACCCATCACACCCTTCAGAGCCCAGCTAAGAGAGCCTCTGGCATGGAGCTGGGCACAGTTGACAGGAAAGGCATAAATCACGATAAAACTAGGAATATCCCTCTTCCTTTAGAAGGCCAAGCCAATCCTTTCTGCCAATCCCAGGAGAAAAATGTGCACCATCTCAGCAGACTATGCACCTTTCTGCAGACAGGCTTCATCCCAGCACTCCTCTCCCTGCAAGGAGCCAAGGTTACCAGGAGAAATCCCCGTGCCGCTCCATCCCCACGCTGCTCCTCGGCACAGGCACCACCATTTGTCAGCCTGCAATAGTGCTGCACAGCTCTGCTGCTCTCCTCAAAAGGCTTTTCATTCCTTGCTGTGTGCCAGTTCCTGATCAAAATTCAGCAGCACCGCAGCACTCGCCTGTGCTACATTTCTCTGCAGAGCAGTCACCGATGTGCATCTGAGTTCGAAGGAAGAGCAGCCACAGCACTGCAAAAGGAACTGGGAGCAACAAAGGTACACAACTGCTTCCATTGCCTGGCAGCATCTGAGTTTCATGTTCTGAACCTCTCTTGTGCTGCCAGTACAGCACAGCACCGCTATGTAGACAAACCTCAGATACTGCATGGGTAGTGTTCCCTAGGGAAAAAAGACTGCATCCTGGTGGTGAGCAGTGATACAAAATCCCCAAAGAGAACAACCAAGTGCATCCCTTTTCCTTACTTATTTCTTGGTATTCTGTACCAAAGGAAAGCAATGGAAATGAGCGGCACTACGTGTACTAGGAGCTTGAGGAACCTGAGGCAGAAAGATGCACCAAACTGTATTATAGTTCAGCTCAGAAGGAGCTTGGTCTTCGAGCAGAAAGAACTACAACACCAGAACAGAAAGCAAACTTCCACAACATCCAGCATTTCACATCTGTTTGTTCAGAGATTTTTTGCAGCACAGAGGAAAGCAACCCCATGAGAAGCATGAGTCAGGTCTGCTGGAGTCATCTCTTACAAGTCACAGCACCATACAGACAGAGTAATTAAGATACAGCGTATGACTCAGTTCCACCTTATATTCTCAGCAGTGTCCTGATCCTTTAAATCCCACACATGCATATATATTCAGACCCAGGCACACACAGCGACAACCTCCCTGGCTTCTAAAGGTAAATCTGCAGCTACCTTTATGCAGTACAAATGTCTGCTGCTCCGAGCAGTCCTACAGTGAGATTCCTTCTTACAGAACAGATTATGCAACCAGCAAGGACCAGAAGAGCCCCAAGATCTGTGGTTTCCGTAGGCCACATCACTGCCATGGCTATCAGCTGCAGTTTAGCAGCACATGAACATTGACTAGATGGATACAATGCTTTTCAGGGCAGGTAGGCACTCTCCCAGTGCAAGCCATGGCATAAAAGATCACAGACTAGGAAGCATCTGAGTGGAAAAGAGGCAGATAAATACATTCTCTCAGCTGCTGTGTGCAACCAACACTAGATCTGATTCTACCCTGCCTAAAACCTCTCTCACTGCCTCCCAAGGGCACAGTCCTGGCCACCCTACATGTCAAGCACATGGGTCTGAAATGCCAGATGGGCAGCATCACCCTGGACTCAAAGCTTTGCAAACATCAAAATCCTTTGCCACACCGATTTGATCCTTCTGACCCCCAAACCCTCACCTTTCTGCCAGCCCTCTTTTTGTCAGGCCCGAAATGACAATGGGATCAAAGGGTTCCTCCGTCCCAGAGATGGTTATTCCCAAGGGACCACCATATCGCTTCAGTTCCACCGTGTAGATTATGGCACCGGTTGTCTCCTGCTCATCTGAAAGAGAAAACAGCAATGCAGTTTTTTATTTTGCCATATCAAAAAGGTCACAGGGAAGACTTGTAGCATTTAGAAGCACAAGCTTTCAGTCTTCAGCTGTGCTCGTACCAAACAGGATTTTAACCTTCCAAACTCCATTTAAGGGCAGAATAACAAAAATAGACTATAATCAATTGGAAAGTGGAGACCAGAGAGGCAGCAGCCCTTATCTTTGTTAGTCTGCACTACCTACTGGGAAATGTCATTAAAGTGGACAGGCACCAGTTTGCATTGGGATTTCTGTACCAGAGTTATCTTCATCCTTCCTAATCTTCAATTTGACCAGGTCTTCACATTGCCTTAAAATCTGCACAGCATCCTCCATTGAGCAATTGTCGAGTCGGATGTTATCAATGGCTAACAGCTTGTCTCCCGGCTCCAAGGTGCCAGTTCTATGTGGAAAGGAAAAGAAAACTGAAATGCATTTGTATTTGCCTTTCAGATCCTGCAATGCATTCAGTTCTGCAGTAGTGATGACAATATTAGCTTTTTTTTTCCCCCCTCTCTTTGGTCTTTTCTGGTAAACAAGTACAAGCAGGGTCTGAGGCAATTATAATGTACAGAGAGGAAGTTCACATAGAGCATGTATCAGCACAGAACAAGACAGGCACATCAGCTTAATACTCTCACCTCCATGGATATATAGTCTGGGTAGCCTACAGCACTCAAAAATGTGAGTTTTCAGAAAAGGCAGAATATCTGTCAGTTAATGATCACACAAGTGAGTTCACTTAAAAACCAGCCCTTCATGAGTACTAAATTCCCCTGAAAGCCTTGCTAGGAGGTGTTGGAATCAGAGGAACAGCCAAAAAAGGCTGAGTTATTGGCACAGATCTCCACCAGTGCCCACAATTCACTCGCTCAATTCATCCAGGCAGCAGCTGAAACACAGCAAACTACCTGAGGCATGGCACATGCTCATAGATGTTAAACATCCAATTTCAGCAGACTTCTGAATCAGTGCCCCCACCATCCTCTCTATTAGCTTAACTTTTCATTCCAAACCCTACTGTGGTCAAAGAGAGGCTTCTAGGGTTAGCATATGCTTGGATAATGGCAAAATCCATACCTCAGTGCTATATCACATGGGAATCTGACTTTTGCCATAGGTTTGGCAGGTGGGAAATTGTGCACTCACCTATGTGCTACACTCCCCTTCTTGATGTCGGAGATGATCAAAGGCTCCCCAGGCTTTCTGCTCGCAGCTGCAAGAGACAAACAGGAGCAAAACTTAGCCTGCCATCTAAGATGGGAGAAGAAGTTGGGAGGAAAGGAAACGTCCTCTAACAGAATGGTGCTTCACACTTGACTTTCAGGAAGCCACAACCAGGAGAAAAAAAGAAGTAAATCCCTGCAAATTCTTGTTGATTGCCCTCCCCTGATGTTGAAGTAAAAGAGGACAGGAAATTCTCTAGGTGAAAAACAATCCAGAAAAAAAAAATATATGTTTTCCATGGGGTTCAGCTACCCAGACCACTCTGTCATACAACCAGATAACTCCAGACTGCTCTCAGGCGGAGGAGGGGATTCCAATCCTCCTGTCCCCCCACCAGACTGTGAACATTTTCAGCCCATGAGAGATGCAAGCATGCATCTCTGGGAGCATTTGCATTTTCCAATTTGCCTGCAGGACCTGCTGCTCTCTTGAGAAGCCCAAGAGGGATTTATGACTTGACTCCCTCCTGACCCCCCTGCTATCCATATAACAAACATACACCAAGAGCATAGTTCACACCCTCTGTCCCTCCCTCCAGCCTTGCTATGGGAACTGCACCACCTCGTTTAAGGCTGACGGAGCTTCTCAGCAAAAACTGCATGGGAAGGAAGAAACCTCAAAGCATCTGAATGTATCGGGTGCAGGTCAGAGATTAAAATATCTGCAAGGTATGTGGCATCAATCACAGAGATACACCTGCCTGAGCAGGAGCGAGAGGGTGCCCCAGAAAGTCAGACATAAAGGAATAAGCGCTTTTACTTGCCAACATCTCTGCTCTGGATTTTTCTATTTGTATTCATTTGTAAGATATAAAAACATACGTGCTATGCCCATCACCTTTAAGGATACCCTCTCCCATGTGTAACCAAACCTTCTGCACCAAACAGTGTGAAATGACTGCCAATCTCAGCTGCAACACAGCTGAGTGTAGAAGTTGGGTCAGAGCAGACCGTGACTGATTTCATAATAGCCATGGCAATGAGACTGCTGAATGATGAGGCACCTGGAGGAATTATTCTCCCCATACCTTACCAGCTCACAGGCAGTTCCGATCTAGAAACCCACACGCAGCTTGCAGCTGTGGATCAAAGAGGAATGGATGGATTGTGGAGGTTCACCAAGAGCTCACAGCTGTATTCAATCCGTATTCAGTGCACGGCCCAGCCAACCCATTCACCAATGTACGTCAAGAGGTGCAAAGGCTGACATGGCTAAAAATCAACACAGAAAGACCCACTCTGCCTGAGAAGGTCGCTTGCCATGGGCAAACAGTGCACAGAAACATGCTGTTATCACTACTGCTGTTCTCTTTTTCAACACAGGATGTGTCTTTGGGGCTGGGAGAGGTGCCCAGGCAGTGGTAGGAGTGGCAGTGATGGAGACTCAGCAGCTCGCAGGTGCTGAGCCCGGCACGCGGCGCTGCGTGCTTAATCGCGGCCTAGCCTGGTTCTGTCAAAACGATCCAGGTTTCCAGAAGTGCTTTTCACCGTGAGGTTTGTTTATTAGATTCAAAGCAGAGGCTGTGTGACAGAAGAGGGTTAGAGAGAACCACAGTGCTGGCAGAGAGGCTGGGGACAGCCACCCCTACACCTGACACAGCCAAACAGGCTTCCTTCAGACCTGCTAAATGGAGAAGGAGAAAGCACAATGGCGTACCCCTCTCCCTACCATCAGACTATCCAAACTGTGAACACACGATAGTCCTCTGTTTTAAATAACCATTCAGTCACTGGGTATGATATTGGAAGGCTTTACAAAGCCATCACTATTAGTCAGCACCCATGAGACTGACGGGTAAGTTAAAGGGACTTAATGAACAACCATTCTCTCTAGAGGCATAGGATTCAAAGAGAGAGAAATCTCAAAGCACTGAACAGTCACTCCCTGTTCAATTTAAATACAGTAGTTACTAACTCCATTCATTCCCCTTTGGCATCCCAATGCCCTTCCCCATGAACATCCAGCCTTGCCTCCAGGCCTTGTTTTCCCATCCAAAAGGGGAGATGGCAGCCAAGGAAAGAGGGGAAAGAGAGACATCACAACAGAGACAGAAGCTGTCCTGTAGATACTAGCACCATCTCCTCAGGAGGTCTGGTTGTAGCCCCCACCTGCCAGGACAAACCACTTGGGGTGCAAGTAAGCTCTTTTTCGGACAGATTTGTGGTTTTGGTGGGTTTGCCAGTACAGAAGATAGTTGAAATCCCCCCCAGTGACCCAGAGAAAGCTCCATAAATCAACAGTTGGTGAAGGCAGAAACGTGGGGTGGGGGAGAAACTCACCATGAAACACTGCCTGGCGGTGCTGACAGGGCAGTGATAAAAAGGTGAACTGATCAATACTGTTATTTACTTTTTATAAATTGCTTTCAGTCTCTCGCCACCTCTGCTGGGATTCTGGCTCGCTCGGCATTTACTCTCTGATGGATGACAAGGCCAGAAACACATGTCCGTTCTGTGTTTTTAATAGAATGCATAATGACTTGCATTGGTAAATTATTCCCCTCCAAGGAGCACAAGCACATATCTCACACGCATCAGCGCTTCAACCGGTTATAAATGCCCTTCGTTATTGATCAAGCTGAGGCAGCACTCTGCCAACATGTAATTAAAGAAATTGTAATAACGCCAAGAAATACATTTAAGAAAGCAAACTCTTATAAAGGGGAAAAACAAACAAAATCTGAAACCCAATAATCTCAGAATAGCTAAGGAATGAGAAAAGGAATAAAAGCAAATCAAAATTGATTACAAAAAGCAGCAGTGACAATCTAGTCCCCAGGACCCAACTTTTTCCTCTACCCTTCATTAGTTTTAGCAGCTGGGTAAATTATCAGTGCCACCAGCAGGACGCTTACACCACCACAGATCTATATCCTTTCAAACCCTTCAGGTAGCAAAGCCTGAACAGAATACCTCACTTTGGTATAAGCATCGCAGTGAATCAGTTGCAAATCTGTGGTTGTGATGTCGGCAAGGCTGTGGGGACACAGTGCTGCTCATGGACACACTGCCAGGCAAGTCCCAGGCTAATCCAGTGTCAGTAGAGCTGGACTGGGTCAGCTCACAGATTCCATCTTCTCACCAGGACAGTGATTACACCGCTTAAGAGACTTAAAGTTATCTGCCTATCCAAATTCCGGTTTTATCATCCACAAGCAGATAACAGTGCTTATTCCTTATCTGCAGTACTTCCCAGCAAGGGCACAGGAATTGATTTGTAGAGATATATAAAGGTAATTTGATAAACATGCTATATAAAGCATTAATGTACAGCTGACACGACAGGTAATTTCAGTGCCCGTTTAAGCAGCCCCAACACCCCCATGCCCTACAGTGAATTTCACATTTGGCCTTTGGAGGGGGTGAACGAGCAGACAAAAGAAGGAAAACAGAAAAGCTATCTTTCGTGGAATCAACGACCATTTTCCAGAGGCTAACAGCAAGTGGATAACTAATTTTAAGAGGTCAGGTGTTGAACGCACAAGAAAACACGGCTATTCGCTTCTCGCTGTTAGGGATTTAAATTTGTGAGAGATTTACAGAAAAAAATCTACAAAGGGATAACTGTGTCACTAGAACTGAATGCAGCCAGAAAGATGAGAGCACTACGTGCCGTGTGTTCTGCTAACGGAGCCGTGCAGTTCAAGCTAACGAGAGCCAGATCTTCACACCACTGTGTCAGAAACCTCACGTGGCACTTCTTTGCATCCCCACCACGCAGAGCACCTCAGAGGTCTCTACAAACAACTGAACGTCACCACCCACACATCCCCGCACTCACCCCCAGCCAGGAGCAAGCCTCTCTGTGAACCCATAGCAAAACCAGCAGAATCTGCCCTCCTCATACACAAACCTCTTGGGTTCCCAGCCCTTTTATGAGGCTTTCTGGCAGATTTATGTTTCCTCCAGCTGCTTTATATGAATTTTTTCGGCGCATCCATCAAGAACCCTGCTCTCCCCCACCTTTGCTCGGCCCATCTCCCGATTAGCTCTGAGAGTCACAGCACAGCAACAACTCGATTGGCTTTTATCTCTGTAGCACTTCTCTGATGAGGTCATAACACTTCTTGCCTACTTGTCACAAACCTTCCCAAACTGAGGAATTAACCTCCAGTGGGCCTGCTGAAGCCAAGAGATAAAACTCAACAAAAACAACTCATGTTTCATATGATTTCCCGTTCATTGCAGAGGAGTTGGACTGGATGACCTTTAAGGGTCCATTCCAACACCAACGATTATGTGATATTTCATTTACAGTGTGCCATACTATGATATTTTAGAACAAACCCAAATCTGGATGTGGCCATGACAGTGCAGGGGGTCTTGTACCGATCCAACCAGTTTGTCACCTATTTAATCTGCTCGTTTCCACTTTAAGCAGCAGTTATATGCCTTTCTTTGACAGAAAGAAGCTATAAAAACTCTTTCTAGATCTCAACAAACATTCAAATCAGCACAACTTGGAGGAACTGAGCAAAACAGAGAAGGGTTATTTTTACCTCTCCTCTCTGCTGCTTGCATCACACTCCTGCATGCACATCATGTCTCTGCAGGAGGTATTTACCATACATCTGCTTGCTTTCATTCTGACGTTTGACACAGGAATATTTATCTGCCTGGTCAGATGCAGAGTGACAAAATGATGATATAATTTGCTAGGGTTCTTGTGGAAATAGGTTTATGGGGACTAATTCATGAAAGCAGAATTAGGATTCAACTTTCATCCTTGCTGATCCTTGCATCCTTGCATCCGCATTTTCTGCTATCTCTTGCTCTGTCTGTAGATACAGTTTTAGTTTTGACTCACCAACAATGAAGTATAATCTTAGGTTTTCATGTTTTCATTACTTAAACAACGTCCTGTAAACATGTTCAACAATCAGAAAGATCAAATCTATTCCTTCATTCAGCTTAATCACTGACAGTGGGCATCTAACTACTTAAAACCCAGGGGTCGCTGTCTTTTTATTTAGCAGTGATTTCCAAAAAGAGTGTGAAATCGATTTTTTAAACACATTTCAAACAAAAATATTTTCAACATAAAAATATGTTTGAAGTGTAAATGCACATCCAAAGCAGATCCATTTAAGTGAGACTCCACAAATAAAAGCTCATATTCTTGCTAGCAACTTCCAGGTTCATTTTGCTCTTCGGTCCCAAATCAAATCTAAACTTTGAAGCTTAATAGGGGTGAAATCCTCTCCATGCTCAGGCCAGCAGATCCTTGCTACCAGATCCATCATCCCGGGTTTCCACCTGACATTGCAATGCCTACACAGAAGGTGGGGAATGCAGTGTGAGCTCTGCCCCACTGGGTCCTGCTCTGCCTACAGTGACAGCCATTATGGACACTTCACTGCTTTTGGAAAGCACTCTGGTGTCTTCAAACAGTAAATACTAGCAAGCCAAGCATTACATGTTGTGAGTATTCACATAGGACAAAATGGGGAAACTGGGAGAGGAAATGACAAAGTAATCACCCTGTAGATGTAGATGTCTATTCTGGGAAACAACCCACTTAGACCACAACATCTCCAATTAACTCAGCAACTAATGCTGCAAATGCCAAGAAGTAATTGCAAATAGCTTATCTACTTTAATGAAGCTTACTATGAAAGTGTTCTTAGCAACTCAGAGAGGTGATGGACACCCTGCCTCTGGAGACACCCAAGGTCAGGCTGGATGGGCTCTGAGCACCTGATGGAGCTGCTGGTGTCCCTGTGCATTGCAGGGGGGTTGGACCAGGGTTCCTTCCAACTCAAACGACTCTTCTGTGGCTCCATTCCCCAGAGATAGCCCAGTCTGTGCTTCTGAGGGCTGAGACATAAGCTCCCATTACTGTATTTTCACAAGCTGCTTTGTCTCATCTGAGATATGGTAGGTGCCTCTGGGCATGGCCAATCTAAGATGATTCAACTCAGGTTACCTAGCAGTGAAAGATATTACGCCATTCACATACGCATACAGGAAAAATCACTGGTGCGAGTCATAAGAAGATTTCAGCATACCCGAAATTTGGGAAAGAATCACAGAATCATTAAAGTTGGAAAAGACTGCTAGGATCATCCAGTCCAACTGTCAACCTACCAACAGTACTGACCACTAGCATGTTCCTCAGTGTCACGTTACATCTCTTGAATAGCTCCAGGGACAGTGACTGAACCACCTCCCTGTGCCAGTGCCTTCACTGCTCTTTCAGAGTTTTTCCAAATGTCCAGAATGCATGGATCTGCCTATGTCATCATCTCCTTACAGTGTCTTCCCCAGAGACGCCAAAAGGTCTTCAAATTAGAATAGACTCCAAAACATAAACAAAGATAATCAACCAAGAGCTAGGAGAAAAGAAAGAGAAGAAAGAAAAAAGTTGATGCCTTGTTCCCTTGGAGCCCACCAAGGCCTGGAAATAAAAATAATATTACTAATAACGTAGCATAATATTTAGTCTGTGGCACACAACAACTGCTCAGCTGCCCCTCAGAGAGGCATCCTTTGCTCTGACCCTTCAGCAGCTGCTTTTCTTCTGCAGTTGCCAGCTCTTGGAGGCAAAAGCCACACATCCAATTCAATTTGGAACAAACTGAAAGTGCTGTGAGTGCTACCAGAGAACCCCACATAATCTTTTTGTCTCTGCTGGGCCTCTCTGATGTGCCATGTTGGAAAGCAGTGGCTCTTGCAACTGCTCGTGCAAGGCTGAGCAATACTTACAGCTGATTGTAATTCCAAGCTCTACACCTCTTTTCTTGGGCAATTTAACATGGAAAGTGCCGCTGCTGGGTATGACAGACTCTATAAAACCAGAAACAGACAAAAAGAAAATAGGAGAAAAGAGTTTTCAGTGGCATGAATAGTTTCTTTGGAACCAAGAAAAAACAAGCCCATCAAACTCAGCTTTATAGGTTCAAATAAGGTTGTTATCTGATGCCCTGAGGACTTCAGGTTAAAATCTGGATTCTCATTAAAAATACATGCCCTGAACATCAAGTGAATTGCTCATATCATGCTGTACTTCAAATCTGCGCCATCTTTGTCAATTAAAATGAAAAAACCCTTTTTCTTTTAATACAAGGCAGCACACTTCAGCCAATAGCTTCAGCTCCCTTCTTGCTTCAAGGCCACAGATTAGTACAAATATTCATATTAATGGTTGAATGCTTAAAGAGTAAGTGGCCTCTTCATCTACTCGCTATGATTCTCTCAGCCAAGTTGTGAGAAGAAGGCATTTATGGAAGGATGAAAGGAAGGACTCTTCACTTTAGTGCACATTAGAGAACAACAGAAAATGGGAAAGGCCCTCAAAGGGTCCTCTCAGTCTCTGCAGTCTAGCGAAAACCTCACATATTTTTGGAAGCACAATCCCTCCTACAGGTTAGCAAAAGCACTGGTAGAGTCCAGCAGGTGCTGAGGAGCAAGAAGTCCCTTGCAATTACCTGCAACATCAAATTCAATTTCGAGCACCACTTTGTTCGTCAGCGCAGCATCCCGCAGAAGCTGATTAGCTTCCTCCATAGTCCCGTCCTCAGTTGCAATGCCATTGATAGAAAGGACTCTGTCTCCCACTTGCAGCAGCCCACACCTGCAGTCCACATTGGGAAAAGAGGGAAAGGAGGCAGGGATAAAGGAGGAAAGAAGAAAAGAAATAACCCCACAACCAGCCATGAGTTACTTTTTGACAGGTAAATCTGTTAGAACACAGAAAGTAGTGACAAATCCTGCAGAAGTAGCCCCAAACAGATAATTCATTCTGCAATGTGTGTCCCAGGGCCAGTACAGCCTGGAAGGTCACAGGGCATGAAAGCATTGTGGCTGGCTTCACCTCAACATACTTCACTCCCAAACAACATTTTTTGTCATATTTCCTGCAACTTCCAAAGAAAAAAAAAACAAACAGCAAAACCTTCCTCTACTGAAAGCCAACACCATGGCCAAGACATGCAAGTGATAAATTGCAAGGACATGTGCCCTCCTACCCTACCTAATAGTATACATCTCGTTCTGTGTGCCTGCACCCACTGGAAACCAACCTAATGGCACTGAAAATTGTGCAGAGTCCTCTGCTTAATACATGGCTAATACTGAAGCTACAATCCAATGAACTCACTGAAACATCTCAGCAAATTGGATAATCATTTATCCCTTGTAATTGCATTTCTGGAAGCCAAATGTACATTGATACTGTGTTAACTGCCCTGAAAGGCCAATGTTTATCGGCACATGAACCACTATATTCACTGTCTACCCTCTTCTTCACCAGGAAGGCAATCCTGCACATTACCTCCTGCAGCTGTAATCTGAACTGCATGATGGCTCTACAAAGACAAGAGTGCAGAGTTCCCCATGACTGGCCATGGGCAACAGGTTGTTTCATTCTCATCCTCCTCCACATTCTTCATCAGACTACATCTGTTCAGATTTTCCACTGGTCACCTATCTGGAAGGCTGCCCACTCACTTAGCTAAGCATGAGAAAGCACTGATCCATCATTAATGTAAGCTACAGTGTGGTTTCCAAAATAGATTCAGAATTATGGGAACAAGATTCACCTCTGCATTTGGAGTTGTTTTACCACAAAGTTTTCCCTTAAAAGGATCAGCTATCCTGTTTTAAGCCTTCTCTAGAGAACCTTTATTCCCTTGCTGTTTAATGATCAAACAAATTCTTTGCCCTGACCTTTGCAGACACCAACTTTGTAGATATTTTATAAAAGACTGTTTATTTATTTTTACTGATCCTTTCATCCACTCTTTGTCACTCACACCTGTTGCCACTGTAAGAAAAGATGGTACTGCAGCTTCCGAGCACATGAAGGAAACATCAAAGGCAGTGGATACTGGCCGTTATTCACCTCCAAACAACAGGATGTATATGAAAGGCCAGGTATCGAGACGAAAAACATTCACATCCAAACTGGAGAAAAATGCACAAACAACAGTTTTTGTCTGCGGCCCATCAAAAGCTCATCTATGATTAAGTTTGGAGAGAGCCCAGGAAGGTTATCTTGTTAGTGGGAAGGTATTAAACTTGCAACACATTCACTCTGCTGCCTGAACTCATGCTACCCATGGAAAACGGCAGCTATTTTAAGAGATGTAAATTCAGAAGCGTTTGTTCAAGGAGACCTGGATTAGGACAGACAACTCCATAGAGCATATGTGAATCCAACCTTGTGAATAACTTCATCATTTAATTACAGTCCTTTCCTGAGCTTGCAGATATATATGCTGCCACAAAACCACATCGGAAATACCAGCTCACAAATATGAAGGTGGTGAGTGGCACAAGAGAGAGATCTCCTGCAGCACTGAGGGCTTTCTTACTATGGTCACTATGCACCATTTGGAAAGGAGGAACCAACACAGACATCACTTCATCATTTCAAGGAGGACACAACCTGTTTCAGCCACAATGTCTGGGAGATTATGGGAACCTTTTACATAGCATCAAAGCAAACATTTACTGCCCTTTCCACCACAGCTGCCCTCTCACAAAACATGGCACTTCTCCATTCAAGGTAGATTTACTGCGGTGTTTTACAAGCTCTGTTACGTCAGAAGAATTTTATTTCTTTTAATACTGATTGAGTGGATCATGGTGGTCTAAATCCCAGTCTTGCAGGTTAATAAAAGTTTGTGAAGTGAAGCTGTAACCTCCTAGCTTCAACTACAAGAGTAAGAAGACCCGATGTGCCTTGTTAACTCTAGAATTTCAACATCAGTTTCCAACTGCCACATGTCTCTGTGCTGGGAACAGGGCCCTGGAAGTCAAAGCTCCTGCAGACCTCTCCTTGGCTCTGCTGTGGGATCCTGCATGAAGTCCACAGAGAACTTCCCCAGATTGATGCACACATCTCAGAAATGGGCACTCTCTCGGGAGACCTCACAAAGTACTTCAAGATCATGGGGAGAACTGCTTTGAAACCAGAACAAGAGTTCAAGCATCTTCCACAGTGAGAGACAGCACTATGGATGTGTTGGAGTCCACGATGGGAAGATTTCCTTGGGATTGCAGAGATGTACATTTTGTCATGACTATTTCCTTGGGCACAAAGACAGCAGCAGAATAGCAGAGGTGCCTTGCTCAACACTGAGCAGCACAAATTCAAGCTCTGGGCTGGGTGCGTGCTGAAGATTTCCTTCACTGTCATCAGTATGAGTGGTCACTCCAGCTGCAGAGCAAGCACATCACTGGCTGCAGAAACAACGTGTGGTGCCCTTACACACCCCCGAGCTGACCTGTATGGATTAGAAGCACACATCCGTGCGTGTTTGTATATCTGTGCCTGTTTGACATCTGTGTGAGCACACTGATGGGTGAGTCACAGCCCCCAGAAGATGAAAGCTGTGTTGATAACATTACACAGCTGCTGAACTTTCCTTTTGCAAACTCTTCACACTCAAAAGCCAGAAATATGATGATCAAACAGCTGTCTGAATAGAGCTAGGAAACATGTAACGCAGCAGGAAGCATTGATTTTGGATACTGAGATGGACAAGGCAGATATTCTTCCATTGCTGTCTATGACAGCGGAGGGAAGATGGACAGACAGCTGTTTGTTTGGAGGCAGGCAAGAAAGGAAGAAATGTGCTGTCCCATTTGACCCTCCCTGCTGATAACTAGGGACACACCACTGTCTCATTCTGATTCCAAAGGCTTCATCTTGCACCCAGGAAACAAAACCAGGGGTGGAGTGGGAAAGTCTGTTAGAGACAGGGATCAATAAAGTTTCTACCTTCCAGAGGGGAAAAGCAGTACAGTCTAGGAAAGGAAGAAATACACTGCAGAGATTTAATCCCCAAATCAAATCCATACTGCAAACACAGACAGGATTGCTCCCTTCCACCACAAAGCAGAGGGCAGCAGCCAGGGGAGTGCAAAACCTGCTGGGTGGGAGCCGTGAGGGAGAGAAGCGCGTAGCACATTGAGACAGGCCGGGCTGTGCCACGAGGCTTTGCTTTCAACCTGGCTTTGGCAAGGGGATAAAGCAAAGCCAAGGCAGCTTGCAGCACATCTCCCCTCTCCCCTTGGGCAGCAGGCTTTGTTGCTGCCCGATTTATAAAAGAAGTTCAATGCTTTGCATTGTGAGCCGACTTCACCCTGGTAATAGAGGATAAAAATCCAAAATGCCACCACTTTCATTGCTGTTTGAAAGCAAACAAACAAAAAGCATAAAAGGCTTTTAAAATCCCTCTTAACCTGCATCACTTGGGACAATGCACTTTCCTATGCCAGTTGCATATCCCTGTGCTCCCTGCCTGGACTCGCACACTCGTGCTGCTCTCTACCACCCTGCCACAACCAGGGATGGCACAAGAAGGCAACACCAGTCCCACGCTAGGACCTGGTCTATCCAGCAAGAGTAACATCATTTGAGGGCATCTATACCAGCAAAGACTTCGGAAGAAGTTTAACCAGGGCTCCCATGCTGAGGTTCAGCCTCTGAAGGGCTCATTGCTCTCAGTACCCTCAGAGTCACAAACAGCAGCAATGCTGCTCCTACATTCTGCTATTTTCCAGCATTTTATGCTATTTTTCCAGATCCTATACCAGAGCTCTCCTTGGTGGTTCAAAACTTTTAGGTTGATTTATGTAGCTGGATTCTGCTACAGCAAAACCAAGCAGATAACACTTTCCAGGGCTCACTCATATACCTTTTTTCCTCTTTCTGCAACCAGACAAAAGCTTTATCTTTCAATGAGAAAGAAGAAAAAAAAAAAAGCAAAACAAAAGGGATGGGAATGGTGCTCACACACAGACACACACTCCCTCCTCTGAGAACAGCCTGGTGCCAAGACTTTCACCTGGGATGCGAGGGAGGCCGCGGTCAGCCGACGAGTGCAGAAATGGCAGTGACAGTAAACCATGCCCAGTGAAGAATGGGAGATATTACAAAGATGACAGTAAATATCTAAATGAGCCTCTGAGGAGAGAAAACAAACCAAACCATGAAATGGTCAGCAGCAGCACCATCAGCATCCAAGGGCAAGGTCTCTAACCTCTCTGCCGGGCTGTCAGGCTCAATAAAACGGACCAGAGGTGGGGAGGACAGGGTTTCAGTAGCAAAGATGCCTCCCTGGAGCTGAAGTCCGAAGCCGTTCAAAGGGTCTCCCCTGAGCACCACCTCTGTCGTCTCCGTGTGGACTATCTGCCCGCCAGGACCCACCGTGCTGGAGGCCAACGACACTGAGAGGAGGAAAGAGGCAGAAGTTAGGGCAGCCACAGTCACAGGCGGTGCCAAGGGGAGACCAAGGCCCTGACTGCTGTGATGAGCAGGCCTATGCCAGCCAACAGCCAGCAAGATGAGCACAGCATCACGCCCAACCCATCCCCAGCTCACCACACACTTACATGAGCTCTTGTGCTCCTTTTTCTTCTGCCTCCTCCTCAGCATGGTGGTGCGGGGGCTCATGGGGTGGGAGCTGCGAGGTAGCGTGTTCGAGTTCTGGCAGGGGAAGCCCTGCGCGTTCATGGTGGGAGATGAGAAGTTGGCGGCCACCAGAGCTGGGGAGATACAAAGCATGTTAAGGATGCAGTGTGCTCACCTAATGGGTGTTCACTGAACTCCTATTGGTTTTGAACTGCCTCCTTTTCAGCTTCAGGACTGGGAAACCACAGCTTCAACTATCTGCTGAGCAACGAGGCTCCCTTGCTTGCTTCCCAATTCTAATATACACCTTGCATCAGCAAGGCTGATCTGGGTGCATTGGATTTCCACATCCTTACATATCACCAGAGCTACCCTCCTTGGTTCATAGCAACTCAAGTTTTTCCCTTGCCTATATGGAAGTGCAGGACTAATGGATGAGAACAAAGGGTCTGCCCAGCATTCTGCTCTAACTGAAGTTAGCAGCTCTGTGTGTCAGGCTGTAGGTACCGATTTTGCACCAGATACTGATTTTGCACCTCAGCAGTGCACCTATGAGGAGGGATCCAACCGACCTCGAAGGAAATAAGTGATGCCCCAGGCTACTGAGTTGGATGTGGAGCAAATGGAGAGGCACAACACAAATGCACACACGTAAGGATTGGGGCAACACCGTGCACAGGGGTTACATTTGCAATAATCCTGTCCAGGCGTCTGGTTCCAAGTGGGCGTCTTGCAGTGCCCAGGGTGGTGGGTGTGACAGTAGTTGACACAGGGGTCCCAGCAGTGGTGGTGGTCACTCTTCTGCACCTTGACTGATGTCACCCAGGAGAGGAGAAATCACGACAGGCATGGAGAAATGAGAGAAAGAAAAGGTAAGAAGCTGGGAGACTGTAGAGAGGAGACTCACACTGCTTTTGAACAAGTTAGGGAGCAAGCACAGAGTGTCAAGCACCAGCAGCAAAAATGCATCCCCATGTAACCTCATGACACTTAATGCAAAGTGGCAGAAATTTACCCATGCCCCTCACAAAACTCTGTGTCCTGAGCCAACAGCCTGACTAAGCTGTGCTGGCAGCACACAGATGTCATTACCATTTGCAGGCTGCTGTGCGACGTGCAGAAGCTGCCTCTAGCCCCAAGTTTCCAACAGAGGCCATCAGCATTATCCGACAGCACTGGGGAAACCTTCTTGTGCTGTTTTCCACCTTGTTGCCCTCCCCAGATGAAGCTCAATGCCAAGCAGTGCTTCCAGCACTTTGCTTGGCTTCAGCATTTGGGTGCTTAGCAGCTGCTCTTGGCCAGGAATCCATGGCAGGGTGCACATATGGAAGAGCCAGCAGTGGGCCAACTCCAGCTTACCAGAACAAAAGGGATTTTATACTCTGCTGCTTAAAGGCAATTACACAAGGCTACCAACACAAGAAGAGCTGCCAGTGCTATGGCAAACAATAAATTAAGATGTGGCACCAACATGGCAGACCCTATTCAAGGCCACACAACTGCTTTAGTTTCCACCCTAAATCCACCCCAGCACATGTTAGCAGAGATCTTCTGCAGCGTGACATCTGCTGCCCAGGAATCTCTTGTCCCAGGGGACGTGGCTTTGTTTTCATCAGGTAGTCATGCCACAAATCATCTCTGCAGTGGCCAAAACACACCCTCAGGCACAGATCCTTCCTCTCACTGACACCCCTTTTGCTCATGGATAGCGTGCGGCCAATTCAGTTATCCTTGCCCAGCAGCACTGGGATTTCTCTCCTGAATCCCTGCACTGTGCTGTCAAGACAGCTCTCAACCTTCCCACCACTGGTGCTTACTAGCAACCACCCTTCCCAAATGAAACCTCCTCTGTGCTTCCCCTGTAGGGGGGAACTCCCCCAGCACAGGCACTACTGAGCTTTCTGAGGGTGCACACAAGGGAGGAGGACTCAGCTCAACCCAGGGTCCACCCAGAGAGCTCTTCTAAGATCATCACTTAGTGCCTTTATCAATGAAAATCCATCTTGTGCACATGCACCACAGGCATCAAATTACTTAGGTCAGATTTTCTGACCAAAACTGCAATTATTTTAATGTCTTTGTTTTAGTGACTTTAGCATTTACTCCATCAAGCTCTTAAAAGATCCACTTTCAGCTCTGGCATTTCTATTTTGTGAATTCAAAAGCAATCTCAGAGTCAAGAGGCTTTTAAAAACAATCATCAAATGAGTAAATGGAGCTGAATCCAGTCAAAAAAGAGAATTCTTAATAAAATTAAATACTTAGAACACGAGTGACAGAGCTTATGGGCCTATATAAAAAACGGTTTAATCCATTCATATCCATTTGTCTTCAAGTTCTCAGCTATAGCTGACGCAACAGAAAATGCCTACGAAACTCGGATGTCATTGCAGAGGGGAAGAAAATAGGTTTTGGACAATCTGGGGATAAAAACCTACAAGAGCCTTCCCCAGGCTTCCCTTGCTTTTCACCAGCCATCCCAGCACTGCTCCTGGGCACCATCCGCTCCCGCTGATCTTGTGAGCGTAATCCTCCCACAGTCTTTCCAAATGCCCCCGGAGCGGCAGAGAAAGCTGACTCCATTTGACAAATCCTGTGCTTCAGCATTAGACCACAAAGACTGTATTTTTTTCCTTCTCTATGATCTCTCACGTCCTGAACGGTTTAACCAAAGTGGGGACACTCTGATCTGATGTGTGGAGGTATGGGTAAAAAGCCTCTAGAACACACAGAGCTGTCCTTCACAGATCTTCCTTCTCCTGATGCTGCTGAATGCATACATCCTGAACGGAGATTAAGACCAGGGCACAAATGGAAGAAGTAGAATTGTTCATTTTAACAGCCGTTGAAAAAGGATTATAGCTTTCCATTTTGTCTTGGGCACAAAGGTCAAGTGATCTGTCCCCTTTGTTAAACGGCTTTAATTCTGCACAAATGGGACTGGATGTGTAAGAGATTTATTTCTAGACACAAAGATGTTATTAGATTCTATGTTTCACTGCATCATATTAAAGAAAACAACACAGATAATTTCTTCCTTTCACCAAACCTCCCTAGAAGATAACAGAAAAGGAAGTGGGCCAGTAGCTCTTGTGCATCAATATTATTAAAATGCACACACATAAAGGAAAGGTGTTGGAAAATGGTTGCAGAAGGGCTGAGACAGAAACAGCTGAAATACAAGATCTCCAATATGGACAATAGCAGTGGCGAGGCACTGGCACAGGCAACCAGAGGTGGTGTTGCCCTGTCCCTGCAGACAGCCAAGGTCAGGTTGGATGAGCTCTGAGCACCTGATGGAGCTGTGGATGTCCCTGTTCACTGCAAGGGAGTTGGATCAGAGGGCCTTTAAGGATCCCATCCAATTCTAAGGATTCCATGAATCTATCACTAACAAAACTGCAGGAAGAGTTGCAATAAATCTAATAGTCAGGCTAATTTCACAAATCTGTATATAGGAGAGCCTGAGTCAGCTTCTTATATGGAAGGAGAAACTAAAGGTAGGCAACAAGGATGCTCACAGAGTGAATTCCTGATGATGTTTGAAATTCACAGGTATTTGGTGTTTGATGAGCCAGTATTTCTCTGAAGGAAAAAAAAAAGACAACACAGCAGCAGCTCTCATTCAGACAGGCTGGTCCAGAAAATGAAAGCTTGTGTTTCAGCTTTGTTTCCTAAGGAAGTCCAGTGGAATCCTGTCTAGCTGCTGACACGTTCTTTACAAAGCCTTGCTAGGCAAGCAGATGAAAGCTGAGCTTGGAAACGCATTTGCCTGCACCAACGCTGTTTCCCTCCCTCTCCATTAAAGTCTCTTATCTGAGGTACTAAGAAAGCGGCTTGCACAGCACTCAGCATTGCAAAACTCTGGGATTCCCAACGCCAATTTTCCTATTCAATCACAGATGCTACCTTTTTTTTTTTTCCTATTCACATCCTTGAACATCATCTAATCACATGCATTTCATCAAAATATTTTTTTTTACCCTCCACAGATGTCTGTCTTTGGAGTTTATTACCAGCATTCAAAAGCAACGAGAGCCACAGTAGGGACCTCAACTGAGTTTTGAGAGCAACCAACAGTGGTTGTGTGGAGGATGTACCTGTTTCTGGGGGCTTCAAAGGCAGCCTGCTTTGGTGAACAGGTAATATCTCCAGCTTGACGTTTTCTGAGGTGGCAGCTAAAAGCTGAGTTGCCTCTAGTAAAGAGCAGTGTTCTGTGCTTGTGCCATCGATGGAGAGAATATGGTCACCAACATGCAGTGCTCCACATCTGCAAAGGAAATAGCAAGAGTAATTAATACACACAGCCAAAATTCATGTCCTTGTGGTTGCAAGCAGAAATGGACAAATTCCACCTGTTTTGCTTCATCTGAACGTATTTCCACATCTCTGCTTTTGTTCTCAGCTTTAACATCAGGTTCAAGCACTGACAAAAATACCAACTCCAACGGTCCAAGTCTACATCAGGGATGCTGATGCCTTGGGAAGGATCTTTTAAGTTTTCAGTAGTGCATGGTCATAGCCTAGCTCGGTGTTCAACCAACAGGACAGTAAGCCCTATCTACCTGCTCTAAACAGGATGTTCCACAGCTCCAGGACGGTCAGATCTGAGGTTTTTAAATCACAGCTCAGCTTATACCTGCCATGAGCTACATTCACTCATGGTGCAGTGTCCACCCATGTTAGGTCAGATATTTTTAGCATGCTTAGAACTACAAACATGTGGACATGGCCAGTTCAAGGCAAGGTGGGGAATAATGACATGACTGAAAAGGGGGCTGAAACGCAGTGAAGGATAGAGAACTGGAGCAGTCTGTTCAGCTCTGTACCTGTCCACCACGCTGGCCGGCTTGATCTTATCAATGACAATGACCTGCTTGTTCCGATGCGTGCTTGTTGTCAGCGTGATTCCTAGCGTTGATCCTGGAGTCTTTGCTATTTCAACTAGTAGAGGTCCCGAAGCATTAGTTACAGTATCTGCAGAACAAGAGAGAAGACTCTTCTCGTACAGCCTTTTGCAGCAGCAAAATGTAAAACACAGAAGCAAACAAAGGGGTGGCCAATTCTGCTGACCTGATTGTACCTGATGGTTTGGATATCCTATAACCTCACAACTCTGCATCACATAGCAAGTTAACAAAGAAGGACATTCAAGAAGCAAAATTGCTTCTGCAAAGAGTATGTATGAGAGTGAAGAGAGATTACAAAATTCACTCATGGAAACCACTCTCTTGCCTCTCGTTTTTAAACAACAAGATCAAGGAAGAGAATGCTCAAAGTCTGTGCTGCTGTCACATCAACCATATTAAAAGAGAAGCACAAAAAAGAAAGATCACAAGTGCATCATTATTTGAGAGTTCTTTCTAAAAAGGCCCAAAGGAAAGAGGATCCCACTTCCTGAGGCATTCAGAAGCTTCACATGCTGAAGACCAGCATAAGTTAGCAACTCCTGGCTACTCCAGCACCAGCACTGCAGTATCACTGCACGTTTCTGCCTGCGAGAGCAGGCACAGAGCTTCCTACCACATGCTTTGTTTAGTTTGACTTCCATGAGAGCACTTCATGGAAACCCAAACATCAACTTCAAAGGAAAGGCTGCCAAAGCCCCCTGAGATCCTGATGCCTCCTCACTCCTTCATTATTCATGATGAAGCTTTTCACTTCCAAAGCTCTGCTCCACTAAAAACTCTGATGCTACTTGGCTTCAAAATGTGATACATGGCTCATTCTAGCACTCTGATAAATGGGAGCATTGATGAAGATCCTGAAAACCAAGCTGCAGCAAGATCATTCCTGGGATTTGTTGAAGATTCTGAGTCTCTGGAGACAGATTTCTGGTTGTGTGGGGATCAGTCAGGGGATCAAGAGACTATGGTCTACTCATAGTGTCCTTTTTCCAGGCGGAGGAAGAAGAAGGAATGAGAGATAGTGAAGACTAGGCAAGGCTTCAAATGAAACACTATTAACTCTCAGCTGAAAAGGACTACTGGACAGACCTGCAGGCCTTGGCTCAAAGCACAGCTTCAGCACAACAAGAAAGTGCCCAGAGCACTTGGGTAAAGCCTGTGGAAGGCCCACTGAGGCCTTAATTAGCAAAGGAAGCTCCAATAGACCAAGGACCTCCAACAGCATCAGCTACGTGTTGGTATGGCAGTCCACGTGCATCCAGCACACATCCTCTGAAAGAGATACATTCGTACACATACATTCCTTCAGCCAAAGGGAGGAAGATAGGAAAACTGGTCATGGAAACAGAATGCCGGGGTGCTAGACCTCATTTATGTTTGCAATGAAAATAGGTCCCTTCCGTCAGCCCATGGCCCTTCTCAACCCTGCACAGCATGGGCCATCCTGATGTCCCTTTAATCTTCATCGCTGGTGCCACGGACAAAGCAACACATTCAAATACATTTTATAGAGGCATCTGATTGAGAAATACCAGCTGAGCCACTAAGGTTTGACTCAAATCAAAGGTCAAGAGCCTGCAATTTAGCAATATTTGTGAGGCTTGATTAACACGGGGCTATTACACCCAAGCTAATTTAGAACGAAATGCTGAGAGGACAGGGCAGGGCATGCAGTAACCTTCCTGCAGGGAGTCAATGCACACTGCTGCTTTGGCACCTGCCCCATTAGGCACGTCTGCAACCTCCTCAAGCATCCATGGAAAAGGCACAGCTCTTCTGTGTTCCAAAAGAAAGGCATCTGCTTATTGCCATGTTTATCTGGCATCAGCCAAGGGCCATGTGTCCCAGCCCCTTCGCCAAGGGCTAGTTTTCTAAGTGTAGTGCTCCCTTCTGGCTGCTTGCATTCCCATGTTGCTTCCAGTAGCTGTTTTTCCCTTCCCTCATCCTTGTCCCTCAGTTGGTAAAGAGAATGTAATAATTGTGATCTGGGGACAAAGCACTCATCTCTGGTTGCAGTTATTAGCTGTTGCCTGGCAAAATCAGCTGCAAATATTATTAAGCAACAAATACTACATCATCTTGCTTTACGGGGGTGGGGAGAAGCAATCTATGAAGAAACTAGCTAAAAAGGGGCTGTTTTACACCTTCTTGGGAAGTATCTTGGGAAGTGTTCGTGGCCCACTGTATAGCAGCACAAGATGAATCACTGCACAGAACCCGACTTTGCTTGTGTTCACTCAACCCTGCCAGCTTTAGGTGGGAGAGTTACTCAAGAAGAAATACCGAGACACTTTAACAGCTATTTTTGCTTCAAGTCAGGATCTAAAACAATCAGCTTTCTGCAGCATAGGCACCAAGGGACCACACAAACAACAAAATTCCAAAAAGCCCATTACCCATGCACCACTAAATGTTTGCTTCTATACAGACTGGAAAGCTCTGTGCTAACTGCTGCTCGCCAGAGAGAACAGCCTTCACTGACCTCTGCTCAGCTACTGCAATCAAAATCATTTCCAAAGGTAGAAAACAGAATTTAGGTATTTTTGCCCTCAGAGGGTCTGAGTGCCCCATTCCTGGAGGTGCTCAAGGCCAGGCTGGATGGGGCCCTGGGCAAGCTGAGCTAGTGGGTGGCAACCAGCCCATGGCATGGGTTGGAACTCAAAGATCTTTAGGTTCTCCTCCAACATAAACTGTTCTATGATTTTCTGTTTTCCATAATTTAAGGCTTTCCTCTTTTTCTTGAATGCCAGCCAATCTCTAAAGAACAGCTGCTCCTGTAACATGGCAGAAGCCAGGCAGAACACAGGTAACTGCAGAGAGGCTGGGTTTTCCTTCCAGCTCTCCCAGCACAGCCAGTGTCAGTGTGATACATGGTTGCCCAGCTCCTGGCAGCCTCTCCACACAGGGACACAGCTCTAAAATCAGTACATCCATCCTTGCAGTATTTGTTGTGAAAGGAAGGGCAGTTTGGGGAACAGAGACTGAGAAAGAATTGGAAAGCCTTCAGAAATTGCAGAAGGATTTCCATTAGTCTACAGCATCTCTCCTGCATGTTGCATGGAACAAGTCCTGGCATTCTCAGCTCTGTTTGCTCAGCAGTGGGGAGGTATTAAACTTCTTCCGATTTGCTTCCTTGCTGGTAAATCAGAAAATAACCTGATCCAACTCCTGCTCCTCGCTGGATCTCAGGCTTCCACGTGCTGTGCTGGTTTGTGAGATTTGCAGAAGAGACTCCAAACTACTCCAGCTTGCAGCTCCAGTGAAGGCAGAAAACCCTCTGGAGACAGAGCTGCAACATCAAATCTGAGCACACAGCTCACTGAGCTTCCAGAGCCGGCACAGCTTCAGACTCTGTGGTAACCTAAAACTCATTAACTATGCTCCCTGCAGTAACAGCTGTGTGTCACAAAGCCAGCTCAAAATGACTTTATAGTAGCTAATAATAAACTCTTTCCCAGAGCGTGAATCTGAAAATCAAATGGGAAAAAAAAAATAATGCCCTCAAACTCGGTATCTACTGTGTAGATAGATCATTTTTAGAAATAGCCATCCTCTGCCCTCCAGTAAGTTCTGTCTTCTCTAGGGTCAGTCAGTTGGACACTCCTCATTTATTTCAGAAGCAGATCTGAACTGAAAGTTCTAAGAAAAGAAACAGCTCTAGAATTAAACAGGGTCAAAATTCAGAAGCCAAGCCACAGCAATCCAATGCCTGCTCACAGCTCATTGCCCGGCACACATCTAATATCGGTATTTTCAGTGCTGGCAGAGCGCCGACATTCCAGCCCACTTCAATTCCAACTTCTCCTACATTAGAAACTCCTTTTTTTCCCTCCTCTTCTGAAATCAGTCAACGTTCCCACTGGGACGCATCATCAGATAAGGGCATTTCAAATACCTTCAACTAAGTCAGCTTCGAACTCGATCCCTTGCTCCCACATAGACAGCAACTTTGGGGCTGAAATCCAGTGACCCCACAGTTGACTATAGCCCCACATACTTTGCAGGCAGTCAGAGCAAATGCCACCCCAGTAATCCTGGCCTTACCCATGATGGTCACATCATACTCGATCTGGAAGAGTGCCTCCTGGCTGCACTGCCGCAGGATGTTGAGGGCGTCAGCGTGGGTCACACTGTGCAGAGGGATCCCATCAACGCTCAGCAGCCTGTCCCCGATTTTCAAGGACCCTTCTCTATAGGAAACCATAGGCAAAAGTTAATTTTTTTTTTTTTTTTTTTTTTTTTTTTTTTCATTTATGTGTTTATATATACGTATAATGTCAATTAATTTGATCCTGAGGAGTTGATAGCTTGAGTTATTTATAGTGTCAGGCCCACCACATTAAATTAGCAGCATGACAATACATAGGCTGCTTCTGGCTTTCTAACATAGCATCAGCTCTTCATTTGCACAGGGTTAATTAAGTGGCTGCCTGTGGAAGAGCAGCCTCTGATGTTTCCAAAGATAAGATAGGTCACCCTATGAGCACCAGATCCGTTCACCCCTGCACACCAAAGGTTCCACTCCACCTCTGCAGGACGAGCACAAAAGACCTTGGGGAGACCCCAGCAAGGAGGACGAGAAGGATATTTGCCCAAAAGTGCAGTGAAAGCTGCTAGTCTGTTCTGAGACAGCAAATGCTGGAGGTGCAGTACCTGTCTGCTGGGCCACCCGGCCTCACGTAGGTGAGCACAAGCGGTCTGGACTTGTGCCAGTCTTCATGGGCTCCCCCTGTAAGCAAACCAGGAAAGCTGTAAGTCACTGGAGGTTTGAGACTCTGAATGAGAGTGCTGAGAAAGTAGAGACATTTATCATATAACAGCTGACACAGCTCAAAAGCAAAGCGTGCCCTAGATTAGGAAGTCAGCAGGCCTTCAAGGCTGCACAAGCTGCTCTCTGGGGCACACTTTTGCTTCTTGTCTGTGGTGTGACATTCACCTTCTTTCTTTTCTTTTCCTGCTTCCCAAATCATCTCTGCCAGTGTTTGTACCCCATTCATTTCTCAGCAGAGAAGCCACTAACCTCTGAGCACAAAGCCAAAGCTGTTGCCTTCCTTGTAGAGGGACACCTCAATGGTCTTGGGAATAATGCCAGCACTGCTTTCTGGCACTAAAAGGAAGAGAGAACAACTTGGTTACCCCCAGACAAACCTTTTCCATGCCACTCTGCAAGATAATAACAAAACTCAGCCAAACATCACTAAAATGAAAGTCCATCCCCTATTGTATCTTCCCTGTTTAGAAGCACAAAATCCAATCTAGACAGTCTAAATCTTTGCTAGAGCCAACCACCATGGTCAGGGATGATTTGACCAGCTCAGCGTTGTGTGTTTTCTCTCAAATCTGTCTTGGCTAATACTCTGACATTCAAGTAAAACCCTCCCATTTATCAACTAGCTTTAATGTGTTCTGCATTACTCAAAGCCCAGAAGCTTATGCCATGGATGGAAACCTACTTTAAAAAAAAAACAAAAACAAACAAAAAAAAAAAAAACCACAGAAGCAGTGTAAGGAGTCGAGCCACGGTTGACCTTAAAGAAAATGAAAATCCCAAATCCTCAGTGCAAAAGGTTGAGGGTTTTTTTCCCTTTCCTCCTACATTTTGACTTTAAAAAAAGATTAAGTGAATCCTTTAAACTGATCCTAGGGGCAATTCAGCAATTTTATATTAAATACACAGTACTATTTAATGTACAAAAGTAAAGAGAAAAAGAAAGAAAACTGTTTCTGCCTCTTGCCATCTGCTGCTATTTAATGATTTATTGAAGTACCGCTGTGAATATGAGACAATTTTCCAATCTTCTCCATCCAAAATGGTGCATGGCATTTTAGCTCATCCACTCCAAAAAGATCAATTCACAGTCTTCAAACCGGCTGCAACAAATGGCTGCAGGGATGACTGGAGAAGCAGGAGGCACCCAGGCACATCCACAGCAGCCCTTCCCCTGGCTCAGGAGGGGTTTTGGAAACCAGTTTCCTTTCTGTGACAACTGTGATCAAGTTGGTCCTCGCTGCCAAGCGCCCCAAGGGCTTGGGAGTGCCCCAGTTAGGGTTAAACTTACCCCAAAGATGCACAGCTGAGGCACGGCACCCACGTGCAGACAGGCAGCCCTGAGGACCAGGCTGCAGCAAGGCCAAATATACTCCCAAACCAGAGCCCTGCACAGCTGCTCTGCTCTTGCATTGAGTGCTGACGGGGACACAACCTAGATATACTTCAAAAAGGAAAAGCCTGGGGCACAGGAAGGCTCCCATACCAAGAGAAGGGCATAAAGTATCCACAAACAAGTTGGGAAACAGTCCAATTTCTGTCCTAATCATCCAAGCATGAAGTTCTGCAGCAGTCTTTCATAAGAGCAGTGGGAGCAGAGAAACCTCAGCTAGAATTAATGCTGGGCTTGGTTTATGCATGAAAGAGATGATATGACACAGTGGCCTGAAAACTAGACTTAGACCTGGTCTCTTCCAAAGCAGGAAATTATAAAGTGGGGAGAAAAATGGAAACCCACACACGCAAGCTATTGAAATACACTACATTTCTGGTTTTTGCCCGGGGAGAAAGAAGCGAGTGCACACAGCACCAGCAAACCCTCACCACAGATAAAAGCACACGAGCAACCAACAGTGAACTGGAGCCAGGCAACAGCGGACAATTCCTCGTATTTTGCTGTGTCTCTTTGTTTGGATTAGTCATAAACAGCATCAATAATCTCATCTGAGAAAAGTCGCTATTTCAGTGCGTTCTTCCTGCTCAATCAGAACGGAGACATTCTGCCTCGCTGCTATTGATTGTGCTATGCGGTATTGGCACTGCTCCTCAGCTGGAAGGACAGCTGATCAGATTCCTAATAGCCAGGCTCACAGCTAAGCAGAAAGGTTAAGAGTTGTCATCTCCAGCAAGTGTGAGATCATGGAAAACTTGAACCGTGGGGTTTGGCTGTTGGGTTTGTTGGATGTCATTTCTATATTCTGAATTTTTTTAGGTAAATGCAGAAACTGCAGCAGAGCTGTAAAGTGTAAGACAGGTTCATATCTGGGGTAAAAAGCTTAGATTTCATTAGCTTTGTTTTTCACTTTTTGTTTTTTCTACTTCTTCTGCCCAGTCGTTCTCTGTTTGACCCTCTGAATAACAGTAATAACCAGGGAGATCATTTTCACAAAGAAAAGATTGTTATGAGAAGGTGAACTGAGGCATTTGTTTGTTATAATCAGAACAAACAAATCAGTGCAAAAGCATACTGTGTCCCACAGCATGACACAAGCCCTGTTTATGTCACCCAGGCTTGCCAGCCTCTGACCCAGGCCCCTTAGCTAGAAAGCAGATTGCTTCAGCTTCCATCTCATCTGAAAACGCCAAACATTTCAAAGCATCTTGAGCAATAACAGCACTTTCTGCCATTCAGAAAAGAGTATCTGGCAATATATACTTAGAACTGAATAAAACCTCCCGTAGCCACACTCCAAAAGGGGAAAAAAAAAAAAAAAAGGCAGAAAAGCTGAAGTAGCATCAGGAGGCAGATTGGCCTGTGCTACCAAGTCACTCTGAGGCAAGACAGATCTAATCAGCCATCTCCTGCCTGTGTGCATGAGCAGGCACCCACTGTGCTGGAAAAAGCACTCTGCTCCAACCCCACACAGCGCGGCCGCATCCAGCGAGCACACGAAGGCAGAGCAGCACCATGCGCCCCCCAGGTCCTGCTTCGTCCACGGTGACCCAAGTACAAGCCAGCCCATCTGCACCCCAGGTCAAAGCGTGGCTAATGAAAGAGAGCAGGGCTGTCACGGTACCCACCAGCTGGGGGCAGCTCATACTCGACTTCCAGCACCACCCTTTCGCCCACGTTTTTCAGCAGGCTTATGATCTCGTCGTGCCGCAGCTTGGTCAGGTTGATGCCGTTCACCGACTTGATGTAATCCCCAACGTTCAGCTGGTCACTTCTGTGAATGAGGAGGGAGAAAGCAGGGGTAGCACAAAGCCTCCACCGTAACCAGGCTGGCAGTGCATGGCAGCCTTTGATAACCATGAGATGTTGTGAACAAGGCACCAGGCAGGGCTGATCTTAGCTGTGTGATTGCACGAGCCTGTTCTCAGAGAGGAATGCTAAAATTGAAGCTATCTATCTTTCCTAGTGGCAAATGTTCAGATCTGTACATACAGTAACAATTGCCACATGCACTTTCACAACCTTCTCTTTTTGTTGCTCAATTCCCATTCACGTAGAGCAATCACTCAAAGAGAAGTGTACCAAGAGCTGTCTGAAATAAAATTCAACAGAAGAAAACATCTTGCTTTTTGCCTGTTTTCTACAAAATTGTTCAATTACTCCCTCCCTTTCTCTGCTTCTTGGAGCCTTTCTTCTATCATGCTTTTCCTGAGCCAGTAACATTGCTTATACACTCAGTATTCAGAACAGATACAATATTAAACCACTTAGCTTGATCAAGATGTATTGTACCATGCAGCTCTCCTGACAAGGCTGTCTAATTTCACAGAATCCCAAATATCCCTACACAAAAATTCAGAGCATAATTGCACAGAACATGGGAAACAGCTGAAAATAGAAAGCATTTGACTTACTGGAGTAGCAACTTTGCATTGAGGCACTTGGGGAAAAAGAAAAAAAAAAAAAGCTTTGTGCCAATTATTTTAATTATATTTGCAGAACATGTAACTACTCTTCCCCAGCTTTCCTGTGCCCTCTGTACTCTATATCCATCTCTCACCTTGCTGCCAGTCCTCCTGGCCTCAGGTTGGAGACTCTTGGCTTCCCATCTTTGTCCGTGCCACCTGAGATGGTCAACCCAAGGGTGCTTCCTTCCTTCTTGATCAGCTCCACAATGGTGACCCCTCTGAACTCCTCTGAAACATCAGGAATAAAGGCAAACTCCTCAGTGCAAGGCATATCCCTCCCAGTCCTAAGGACATCCTTATCCTACAGGTGGTGGGAGAGCAGAGCTGCAATTACAATTCATAGAATCATAGAATAATTTGAGTTGGAAAGGACACATAAAGGCCATCTGGTCCAAACTCCCTGCAGTGAACAGGGACACTCACAGCTTCATCAGGTGCTCAGAGCCCATCCACCTTAATGTTGAGAGTCTCCAAGGATGGAGCATCCACCACCTCTCTGGGCAATCCGTGCCAGTGCCAATTAGCAGGAAGAGAAAGCTCCACTTTCTTTGAAGTGATGTTGTGATGCAGAGGTGCGTGCTGGTAGACCTGCATGAAAAGCATGGCATGCAGGTCTGGAGGCAAGAGCAAGCAGGGCAAGGCAGGGTAGTGAGGGCTTGTGAGAGAACGAATTCATTGTGTTTCCAGAGTGGTGGCATCTAAGTCCAGGGAGATTACCTCCAGAACTATGTTTTATATGGACCAGGGCGGGTGTTTGGAGGGCTGCATGGCAGGCTTACTTTCAGCAGGTGGAAGGATGTTGTGGACCTGCAGTAGCTGCCTGCATGAACAGAACAAAGGAGAACTTAAATGTGGTGATTTTAAAAACAGCCTGAGATGTCAATGTAGTCATGAGGTAAAGAAGATAAGGTGGAGAGGTGGGATCCTGCCAGCACGAGGGAAAGGAGGATAAGGCATGAACTCATTCATCCACAGCAATTTCCCCACACATACGCAGCTGGTCTAAGACTTTTTCAGTAATAACCACCTTCTCTACAGTTGCAGCTGAAGCCACGAGTCACATTTAAAACATAACTGGTTCAACACAAGCAAGCTCCAGTGCATTTTGCAGGGTCAGGCTTAGGCACCTGCTGAACCAGTACTGCTCCTCCATTTTGCCTTCCTACAGTGCAACAAGACACTCTTGTTCATCCAGTACCTATGAGCCAAGCCTGAGCCGATGCCAACTTCAATCTCATTACACTTGCCTACAGGCTTTACTAAAACGCTCTCTCTAAACTATTTCAGCTTCAAGACTTGATGTGGAGAAGATGGGTGAGCTTGTGAGGAGCCAGCACTGTCCCAAGGAGAGACCAAGAGTTCAGCTGACTCAGCGAAGAGCAGCTCTGTCTTCATCCACACGACGGCACTCACACAATGGCACTCACACTCTGCTCAGAGGATCAGCCCTGGGACAAATCAGATGACTTTCATGCCAGCTTTTGAAAAATTTGTCTACATCATGACCCATCCACCTCCACTCTCTTTGGGTGCTGAAATCCCCCACTGTTTTACAGGACAAACACAGCGTCCCTCACGTAGGGCAACTTTCTCCAAAACCACTCAGGGGAAGGCTGTGATGGTTCTGGCAGTGAGAGCAGTCCCATGCCTGTGGACTGAAATTTACACTGCAAACAACCCAAGTCCTGCAAGGCTTAAACGAGATGCTCTGCTTGGAAAGGGAATATTTGAAATATCTTTCATGCTATCATTTCCAGACCAAGGCAGTCTGCCTTAAATGACATACTGACATAGCACACCTGGGCTTCCCTTCTCTTTCACTGGCAGAGCACACAGCGTTATTAGGCACCATAGTACCTCATCACTAGCATTCTGCTCCTCATGTAATGCCATCGTGACTCTAGCAATTGCACCTCGCTACATCCTTCCATGCTTTACCTACTTGGTGAAGCACTTCCAAGAATAACCCATGCACCCGATTAACACAAGTGGAGGACATCTTTGCAATCTGGCAACAGTCTGGAAGGCATTCAGGCACTGCTTGGTCCCTATTTAACATGGCAACAGCAGCTTGTTGAGAAACATCAGGTCCATAATGCTCCTGCTCTTTAATCTCAAACAGTTCTGGTCCTTTGCCATCTCAGTAACTTACTCCTCAATACGGTGACTCAGGAACTCAGGGGCTGCCAGAAACCTTGTGGGGACTCCTGACTGTGCTGGAAGGAATGCCATCCAGCACTATCTTGCACATTTACTCTCAACTACAGACACAACTGATCTGCACAGATGGTGCCGAAAGGAGAGATCATTAGCTCTTCAGTGGGATTTAATTTTGATCCTTGATAAGGGTTTAAAAATGAGAACTCCCAGAGCACGATTACCCATTGTTGTGAGTTTGAGGAGTATTACTGCTCTGAAAAAAGGCAAGTTCCTGAGATTAGGCTATCAAGATAAGCAATACGGCATGCTGGTCAGTGCCTTTATAAATCTACTGCCACTATTAGAGGCACACACAGACATGGAAGTGAGCTGGTTAAGCAGGACCTGGTCCTTCAAGCCATGGCCTTTAAACATCTGATGAGAATAGTCTTGGATTTCTCCTATTAGCGTGGACTTTGCTGTTCAAGCAATTAAAGGGCTCTGTTCCCTTCCCAGGCTCCACAACACACAAAGCCAAATCTGTGATTGAGTGTTTAATGATCAGAAGTTAAAATCTTGCCCCGGGCTTCATTAGGAAGGTGACAAGTTGTCTAGAGCAGCCTTTCCAAACCTGCTGGCATACTGCTGGCACAGCAAGCCCAGCACCCATAGCAATGACGTGTTGGAGTGGGAGCCAATCCTTTACCTGGGATGCTTTGCCTCCTGGAGACCAGGGCTGAGTCCATCCCACCAGAGTCCTTGCTCCCCTTCGAGTAAGGGCCATCATCTGGAAGCAGGGCAAACAAAAAAGGAAAGAAAAAAAAAGAAATTAGTGCCCAAAGCAACAAGCAACAGCAAAGCCAGATCACTGCAAAAAGTTTGTCCATGTTAACACTGGAATTGGGATCATAACCCCATCACAGACTGTAGATGAGAAAAACCATTACCGGCCCTGGCTTCACAAATGCAGCATTGTACAGACTATCCTGCATTTTAGAGAGGGAGGGGAGGAAACACAGTGGTAGTGGTGCAATAGCATTATCTGATTTATTCCTCTGGGAGATAATCCATTAGGAGAGAAGAAAATTCCTTTGCTCCTGTAATTATGTGGCACAGCTGAGGACAGGGAGAGCTGTCACATTCATCTCACAAGTTTTAAGCCTGTCATTATGCTTGTGAAGAAACTTAGGGTTTTTGGAAATGGAGTTATACATCAGGATGCTAACAGGGCACTAAATCACTATACTTGGATGAAATTGCCTATTCTTATAGATGCCATTATTTCAAAGTCACATTTTCCTGCTGCTGTACAGCCTCTGTACAGTATAGAGAGCACCCTCTTTTAAGTGACTTAAAAAAAAAAAAAAAAAGAAGAAAGAGAAAATAGTATTATGCACTCTAAAAGCACTGTGCAGCACAATTTGAAATTTAAATGTAAAGTATTTAAATATCTTTGTATTCTCCTATTGGAAGACATATTGCACAGTGGTTACTTGCAACAAAGAGAGCATCCTTCCACACATTTCATCTAGCTGAAGTGTCTGTTTGCTGGCGTTTCCTAAAAAGCTGGAGCTTTGTCAATCAATTACTTCCAGTGACTGTGCAGTATCAAATGACTCCCACTCTGAGTGACCGCATTCTTGGATTGCCCTTCCCAATCCTTCAGCGGCTGTGAAGGCAACTTCTAAGTTGCCCATGACAGCATAAATACAGGTTACTGAAAACCCCATCCACATACTCCTGTCCACAGCCCTTCAGTAATTTGTATTTAAGTTACGGAAGTGTTTGGGTCTCACTATGTATGAAGGGAACAAAAAGCCTCATTCAAGACAGTGGTCTGTACACTGTGTAATTACAACTGATATTCAGTTTGCTGGCAGCCCAATTTCCTCACAAACAGAAAAATGCTGGTATAAATTGAATCGTGTGGGCTACATTTAAATGCAAAGAGTTGGATTCTACTCAAGGGCTTGAACACTTTTAAAAAGTAAAATGAAACAAGTTTCCAACTAAAGTAATTTCCAAAAAGGCAAAGCACACACACATATATATATATATATACACACATTAGTTTTAATTCTTGATGCTCCAGCTGAAGTAACTTCACAAGTTGAACAAAACTCTCTGATTTAGTTGACCCAAATCTACATTTTCAAGCATTAAAAGCTTCAGCTGAAAAATACGCACCCTTCGCACCCTTCACTTTTTCAACCTGTTTTGCAGCCAATAGAGGGATAGCATAGGTGCTCAGATCTTGGACTCTTCTCCTGCATCAGCTTTTCCATTGCCATTAGACCAAGAATTTCTAATAAAGAAAGAATTAGCACTTGGCAGTAGACCATCACCAAACCATGCCAAGTCTCTGCTGCCAAAGCACATTGAACCTTGGTACCCAAGCAGCCAGGACTGCTGTGAAACGGGAATAAAGCTCTGCTTTCTGAAAGAAGGAAAAATCAAGCATTCTGACCACGGAGATCTCATAGCATTTCTCAGTGACACCGATAGGGACAAGGTTAATCTAGGCTTAAAGACTGTGGAAAAGTTTAATGTACTTGGGATAGTTAAGTTCCAGCACCTAATTTTTTGAAAACAAAGCAAAGCCACCTGCCATCTCTCCTTCAGCAGAGGTAAAGTTCCAGAACTTTCATCATCTACCCACGTTGGCCATGTCCATCTTAATTTCTCTCTCTAGCAAGCTTCCCCTACATTCAGCCTTTCTCTCCACCATCCTATCTCTTACACACCTGCAGGCAGAAGACAAGGACGCTTCAAGAGCACAAAGCAGGCATTTCCAAGGGGAGGATCAGGGCAATGCTGGTCCAGCAGTTCCTGATCCATATTGGTCAGCCCAGCAGCCGTAACCTCCTTTCATTCCTTTCTCAGATGGAGGAGGAACCTCAAAATGGCAGGATATCAGCACGAGATTTCTTTCTCAGCACTGGAAGGTGAGCCTGCAGATGTGCTTCAAAACTCACTGGGATGTACTACATTTGGACTCCCTTTGGTCACGCAGGACTCTAAGGATGATGAGAACCACCCCAGGATGCAGCTACTTTCCATTCAAGAGCATCACTGCCAACTTTACCCAGGTAATGTGCTTGAGGCAATGCTCTGCTGCAGGTGGGAACTCAGAGCTCCCAGGGAGCCACCAAAGATGATCTGAAGCCAACTCCATAATCTGCTGGCAAAGCAAAGCAGCCAACCGTCTGCTTCTCATCAACACACCACCCTGGACCAGACAGCCACCAGCACTCCCTGAGCTCTGTTTTCCCACTGCAACCCCAATCACTATTGATGTGAAATCCCATTTTGCTAAGTTGCCCTCTCAACAGCTGTTTCTGGACATGCCCTGGCTGCCATTTCAGGTTGGTGATGAGTTACCAGCTTCCCCCAGCAGCCAACACCCATAGCCTGATCTGTAGCCACTGTGTGCAATTAGCACTGAGCCCCCTGCACAGTGCTGCAGCCAAATCAACGGCAAATAATTAGCACCACAGCTTCCCTTCTTCTATTTCTTCTCCCTTGAAAACGTTGTTGATTATGCTAAAAATGTTGGGTTTTTTTCAACTCATTATCTAGCTAAAATGTTTGAACAGGAAGGGAAGCTGCCACACGATGCATGCTGAAGTGTGAATTGGCATTTGCTTGCATTAGCATCCCTGCCGTGCGGCTCTTTGTTCATTTTCAGCCAGTTTCCTGCTCTGCCACTCAAGCTGGTATTAACGGAGACGCTTTAGAGGGGAGGTAGGAGGTTATTTTGTTTTTTAAAATAAGAAATCCAGCTCTTTTTGCTCTCTCTCGGTCCTTTCTCCTGCCTGGCACAGCACCCAGCTGGGGGAAGGCTGGTAGCCTGACGCTCAGTCAGACCAAAAGGAGTGCCAGCCCAAGCACTGAAAATTCATGAATCCCTTCCTCCCTCAATTTGGAAAGGAACTTTTCTCTTAAGCCTATGTAGTTCCTTTCTTGAGCTACCCATGCTGGAGCCATTAGAGGTATATTTCTCAAGCTTTTCCTCTCACACACAGCAGGCCCAAATTTCTCTAAAGAAAATATTCTGTAATTAGTGATTTTCAAGCAGCAGTGTTACTGCCAGTTCCACATCGTTCAGAAAAGCTCACCAAGTACATTAGACTCTCAGTAACACTGAGCGTGCAATGCTTTCTGCACAGTTATCCCATGGGAATTTTTGTCAGTACAAAAAAGCTGCTGTAAGTTCTTCGAAAACATTTTTTGCTATTTCAGCATCATGCTACCAGCAGGGAGAGAAGTCTCCTTGTTCTCCTCTACACACATCCAGCCACGAGCTCTTCTTCCCTGCAGCAAGTGTTGCAGAGAAGGAGCGTACATCACAAACACTGACAAAGGAGTTGATTAATAGAAAAGACAAGAACTTGATTTCCCTGTTTCCCATGGCTGCCTCTGGTGAGGATTCTCTTAGGTCTCATAGGAAGTTTGAGCTTACTTTCCCACTCATGCCTTCTGTCTTATGAGTCTCTCCTCTGACCACGATGCTTATTAGACCATTGATCATCCAGCAGCCAGATGGCTGATTCGCAGGGGTCAACTACAAAATTAATTAAATCAATCCTAACTCATAGGAAATCCACAGTTTCCCTGTAAGAGGAATTCCTGATCTTCCAAAGTGGTTTGGTCCATCAAAGGACAAGAGGTAATGGCTTTCTGAAGTGCCAGGAGAGGTTCAGGATGGGTATTAGGAAAAATTTCTTTTCACAAAGAGTGACGACAGAGTGGCACAGGATGCACAGGGAGTGGTGGATCCACTTCCCTGGAGGTGATCAAGAGCCATGGAGATGCAGCACTGAGGGATGTGGGTATGGGCATGGTGGGGGTGGGTTGGGCTTGGTGATCTTCGTGGTCTTTTCCAACTTAATGATTCTGTGATTCTACAATCTGCTGCCCAAGTCAGTGAACGCTGGCCAAGGCTGACTTGCTGCCTCTCTGAAATGCTCCTCCAACCCTGTCCTGTGTGGTACGGAGCCAGTGGGAAAGTCCTGGGCAAATTCCCAGTAGCATCCAGCAGCCAAACTGCTCTCAAAAACACCACGACTTTTCAGTTACGTCTCCCACGAGATGTGAGAACAGGCATCAGGAACCTCTGGCATCAGTCAAATCTGAAGCCAACCTCTGCAACAAAATAAAAAGCTTCCTCAGAAAGAGTTCTGATTTAAGAGTTCATTATTCCTGCCTGCAGGGGGGAAAGAAAGGTGTTTTTTTCATTTAGAGAAGTTATTAGTCTATGTTATTAACACAGATCACCTCTTAATGAAAATCGTCATTGGCTAAATAAGATTCTGTGACAATTAAGCTTGCTGTCTGCAAGTGTTCAGGCTCCTGGATCGTCTTAAGACAGTTCCTGCAGAGAAAGTGCATTAATCTTGTGGGAAGACCAAGAGGTAAAGCCTCCCATTTGTTTAATGGAAAAAAGACAGTTGGAAACAGTTATTTAGCCATACGGTAATTGCACTCCCTATTTAGAGAAATGAATACTAAACCAGCATTAAGAACCAAATGCTGTTCATGCTAACGCAAGACAGTATTTTTTGCTAGCATAGAAGCTCAAGGTTGGAAACAGGAACCCAAGTGACCAAAACTGAGTGCGATTTGATCCCTTTTGAGGAGAGTTACTTCTGTAAATCAGAGGAGAAATCTGTCTGCAATCAAACAAGGAGCAGAGCGTGGGTCAGGACAACTCGAACTGCAGACACTGGGCATGGTCTCCATAGCATGGGATCTTAAAGTTATCTGAGTACCTGAACGGGCAAATAC